CTTCTCATTTCCCATCCCCACTATTCACTTTCCCACCATTAAGAGGGGAAAGTGGGAAGCGACAGATTGAGTAGAAGGTAGAAAGAGGGAAATTAGAAGTAGAAAGTGGAAGGTAGGAAGTGAATGTGGGAATTGGAAAGTGAAAAATTAAAATAGAAGGTGGGAAGTCAAAAGTGGAAAGTGAGAGTAGGGAATGGGAGTGGTAGGTGGAAAGTTTGAGTAAAGAGTGGGAAGTGACAGTGTGAGAAGAAAGTGGGAAGTGAATGTGGGGATTGGAAAGTGAAAGTGAGAGATTAAAGTGGAAGGTGGGAAGTGAGATTGGAAAGCGAGAGTGGAAGGTGGGAAGTGGAAAGTTTGAGTGGAATGTGGGAAGTGAATGTAGGAATTGGAAAGTGGGAAGTGAGAGTGGAAGGTAGGAAGTGGAAAATTTGAGTGAAAAGTGGGAGTTGAAAGTTTGAGTGGAAGCGTGGAAGCGAATGTGGGAATTGGAAAGTGAAAGTGAGAGATTAAAGTAGAAGGTAGGAAGTGGAAAGTGATAGAGGAAGGTGGGAAGAGAGAGAGGAAAGTGGAAACTAAGAGTGGGAAGTGAGAGTGGAAAGTAGAAAATGAGAGTGGAATGTGAGAGTGGTAAGCGGAAGGTGCGAGTAGAAGGTGGGAAGTCAAAGTGGGAGTGGATAGTAGGAAGTGGAAGGTGGGAAGGGAGAGAGGAAAGTGAAAAGTAAGAGTGGAAAGTGGAAGGTGGAATGTGAGAGTGGAAAGTGAGAGTGGTAAGCGGAAGGTGGGAATGGACAGTGGAAGTGAGAGTGGAAGGTGGGAAGTGGGAGTGGGAAGTCAAAGTGGGAGTGGATAGTGGGAAGTGAGAGCGGAAAGTGGAAGGTGGGAAGGGAGAGAGGAAAGTGAAAAGTGAGAGTGTTAAGCGGAAAGTGGAAGGTGGGAAGTGGAAGTGGGAAAGTTACAGAATCGACCCCCAGTAGGGTAATGTCACCTTGAGTGGACCGCCTGAGCTTTTAAGTTATCTGACAGCGGAAATGTGAAATAAATAGTGCGCATAGCAGCACCGCACTTAGAAACCGTAAGAAATTAAGTTCCGCGATAAACATATACGCTACCGTTTGATGTAACGCGTTTTTAAGATCACAAACCAAAAAAAGTCAGTTTAATATTTTTTGGATATAAATTGATAATAAATTGGTTTGAAACTACATATGTTTTACGTTCTTTATTAATTTTTTTGTGATATTGATGTGATATGTGCCAAAATTATTAAAAATGGTTTCACTTGCAAACATTGTGACACACACATGGTCCGAAGCTGCATAAGCATAAATTTTGTAAATATATCAGAAATATTTAATACATTAAATAATTTAGAATAACTTTTTAGGAGTGGTCCACTCAAGGTTACACTTTTTTAAATCCTTAAAAATTAGCTTTTTTAAAGTCAATTTTTTCTTCCAAATAAAAAAAAATCAAAGCTATTATGGTATAAACACTTATCCAGGGATCTAAACTAAAGCTTGGATTAGAAACCTTCGATTAATTTGCTTTCATATAGAATTTTTTCAATAAAAAGCTTAGGCGGTCCACTCAAGGTGACATTACCCTATTTAATAAGATTTATTTAGAAAACATTTTTTAAAAATCCATCAGTATCTTCATAAAAAAATTATTGTTTAAACAAATTGTTAAAAAATTCAATTTTGTCATTTTTAAAAATAATATTATTAAAGTTCAATGTTTTCTCTATAATTTTGAATCACAAATTTTTTTCTACGATAAATAGTTTACGAGATAAGAATTCTTGAAGAAAAGTATCGAAATTATATAATTACAAATATCTTGCAAAATATTAAAAATTTTGCAAAACTTTTTAGCACGCTTATTAAGGAACCTAAACACTATCAAATTACAAAGTATAAGCAAAATTTAGTCCGTGCACAGAGCCATGAACGCCCTAATAAAGTTTTGACAAATTATTGTAGTCTTTTCACATAAATGTGTAAATGAATTTACCTAATTTTTTAATTAAAAAATCTTAATTTTGAAAAATTGTTTGCTTAACCTCTTTTTTCATGCTACCCTTCACTTATAATTACATAAAATTTAAAACAAAACGTAAATAAATTTTAATTAATGTTTTTAACTAGTAATAATGAAAAACATTTATGGAGGTATGAGCAGTTGTCAAATCCCATTGATCATTTCATTTTAAGAACATTTTCTCAGCTCCAAATGATTATTTTTTATCACACTTTTTTTCTTCTGATTTTATATACAAAAGACTAAAAATACATTTTTACAAATTACATTTTTCTAAACTTAAGTAAGTATCATTTTCTCGAAAACCACATAACGGATACTGTTCATTTATTTTTTTAATTACTTGCACATTAGAGGCATTATTTCTCAAACGTCCCAGCCCAAAAAAAAGTCTTGGGATTGGCTTCATATTTTGGGAAATTGTTATCCTATATGAAAGTAATAAATTTGCAAAATATTAGTTCTTTTAAAAAAAATTCTAGAAAGTAGTGGGGCTTGAAGTTTTGACATTTTCAGTAACACTGTGATTTTCAAAACCATATAACATTTATAATACTTTACCGATTTTAATGTTTCTATAATGCATTTAAAGCATTTTTCATGTACTTTCTAAAAATGTTACAAAAAAATTTTTTAAAAAACTTTTAACCCTCTTTCTTTAAAAAATAAAGTTTATTTTTTAATTTTGACCCAAATGGGTATATTTAAAAAAAAATTTTTTATTTTTATTTGAAAGCTGACATTTTTTCCAAAAAAAACATATATGTTTCATAGTGGGATGGCCATAAGTTTAGAAGATATTTAAAAACAAACTAAGCGGCGCGCCCGCGTCGCTGTACGTTACGCTGTCGCTGCGCCGTTGAACGACACAAATATTACTGTTTCCTCTTCATCTGCTTCAGTAAAAGCTCTCTGCATTCTACAGGGTTGAGACTGTCTTAGAAATAATGCCTGCATTACTGTTACTAAAAAAAATTTAAATAATTAATTTTGAAAACAGAAGGGTATAGCTTAAAAAATTTTTGACTGAACAATTTTGAATAAATAATAAAATTATAATTATAAAGAAAATTATTTTTAATAAATAAATTAATTTTGAAAAAGAAAGCTTAATGCTTGAAAATCAAATACTTTTCTGATTCAATCGAAATAAAGATTTATATGTATATGTAATTTTGAAAAGCTTGCGTTAGTATTATTGTTAACTTGGGTTTAAAGTTAAAAGAGTTTTTTTTAATTTAATTGACGAGATAGTACATAATTTTTTTCATTTTTTACTCGGTTTTTGTTGTTGAGAAACTCGTGGTGTAATTTTTTTTACTTTTTTAGGAAAATTATCAAATCCCTTGTATAGTTTGAGCATTATCAAATTTGTTCTTTAATATTTTTTGCTGTCTCAAAGTAGATGTCTTTGCCACTGTAAAATGTTTGGGTTTCTTTACAATATTTTTGCGTCTAGTCAAAAAGAACTTTTGCAGTCAAAATTCGATTATTTGGAGAATATTGAAGACTATGGAATTTTTGAATTTGATAATTTTCCTAAAAAAAGTAAAAAGAATTACTCCAGGAGTTTCTAAAAAAACCGAGTAAAAAATAAAAAAAAATAATTTATTATCTCGTCAATTAAATTTATAATTATAATTTTATTATTTATGCAAAATTGTTCAGTCAAAAATTTTTTTAAGCTTTACCCTTCTATTTTCAAAATTAATTATTTAAAATTTTTTTTAGTAACAGTAATGCAGGCATTATTTCTAAGACAGTCTCAACCCTGTAGAATGCAGAGAGCTTTTACTGAAGCAGATGAAGAGGAAACAGTAATATTTGTGTCGTGCAACGGCGCAGCGACAGCGTAACGTACAGTGACGCGGGCGCGCCGCTTAGTTTGTTTTTAAATATCTTCTAAACTTGTGGCCATCGCACTATGAAACATATATGTTTTTTTGGAAAAAATGTCAGCTTTCCAATAAAAATAAAAAAAAATGTTTTAAAAATACCCATTTGGGTCAAAATTAAAAAATAAACTTTATTTTTTAAAAAAGAGGGTTAAAAGTTTTTTTAAAAATTTTTTTGTAAAATTTTTAGAAAGTACATGAAAAATGCTTTAAATGCATTACAGAAACATTAAAATTGGTAAAGTGTTATAAAAGTTATATGGTTTTGAAAATCACAGTGTTACTGAAAATGTCAAAACTTCAACCCCCACTACTTTCTAGATTTTTTTTAAAAGAACTAATATTTTGCAAATTTATTACTTTCATATAGGATAACAATTTCCCAAAATATGAAGCCAATCCCAAGACTTTTTTTTTGGGCTCCCAAGTGCGAAAACCAACGCGGCCCAACTTAGGCCCAGTATTGGCAAAGCTGGCAACGAGTCTTGGTAGACAATATTGGGCCGACTTTGCGCCGTCCCTTGTGGTGTTAACAGCGGTTGGATGTCGGCGGCCGACAATCGGCAGCCATTATTGGCCCAATATTGGTGCCGATTCTTCTTCCAATGTTTATTTTTGAGTGTTGGCCAACATTCGGCAGCCAGATCTTGGCAGACATTATTGGCCCGACTTTGGCGGCTAATATTGGGCCTTTAATGTCTTCATATGAATGGATCTTCAATGGCGGTCAAGTATTGGCCAATTCTGGGCGTTCAATAATTAAAATAATATAAATACGGAAATAATTTTATTGCTTTTTATTTTTTTTAAAGGTACATATATAATAAACCTTAAAATAAGATGAGAATAAGTAGAAGAAGATTTTTACAAAGCATAATAATATTAAAAAGGGTTTTATATTTTACAAACTATTTATTGTGCGTTGTATTTTACCCCCTTCTCTATCTCCTGCTCCGGATAACCACTTTCCTGTATTACTACGTATATTCTCTTTAGAAATTTCAAATTGTTCGGAAATTAAGTCGGACATACATTTATAGATGTAGGTCTCACTGAAATTTTTTTTCCCTCCATTTTTGGTTGTCCTACCGCTCCCTGTGTACTCCAACTGGACCGATTTAGTTATAAAAAATGGCAAGGAACTTCGGATTGCTTCATTGCAAGACCTTGCTCCTCTGATTAAAGTCTTCATCACTGTTTTCTGCAAACATTGAAACGATTTTTACTCATTTATGTGAACTAAATAATTTAAATAAAATAAAAATTTATTAAATATATATTTAAAAGAATTTATAAATTATAGAAATTATTATATAATTATTATATTTATATATATTTTTTTTGACTTGGAAGATTGATAAATTCCTTTTATTTTCGAATTAAAAATTTATTAAACTCAGGGTGGTCACAATTTTCAGTTTATCATTTTCCCTGACAATTTATTGACATTAGAATTATTTTCCCTGACAATATTTTGTTAACAGGAAAATATGTAAGTTTACGGAAAGTGAGTAAAATTTATGAATTTCAATAATTTCTAAAAATTACAATTAAAATCCTACGTGAATTCAATTATTTCCTACAATTTTCAACTAAACTTCATCTATAAATCAATTAATTTACATAATTTTCCAAAAAATTTTCTAAAATTCAATTATTCAAATACAAAATCTCAATTTTTATAATAATTGTATCTGTCCATTTTTGGAACTGTAACTGTCCATTAACTGTTTTTTTAAGTTTATTAAAATATAAAATTTTCAAAAAATAAAAATAATCAAATTTTTGAAGAATTTTAATTCTAAATATCACCATAATTTCTCCGAAAATTTAAAAAGTCCAAAAAAGTACATTTTTATTTGCTTTATTTAAAGATAATTAAATCTTGAAAAATTATAATAAAAAAATTCTAAGAATTAAGTTTAGTTCTTAAAAATATTTTAATCTAATTTTTCGAAAACCATGGAATTTCTTAAAAGAGTTTTTGTATTATTAAAAAAAAATAATTAATTTGCAAAAAATATGATATTTTGTTGCAATATTTGGAAGAAAAGTCGAGAAAGTCGGAAGTTTTGAAAATATGTCCAAATAAATTTCAATTTTCTAAATTTCCCTGACAAAAACTTTTTTCCTGACATTTCCCTGACTTTACCGACGAAAATTTTGTTTTACTGATATTTTTCTGACTTTACTGACATGTGGCTACCCTGTCAAACTCTACTAAATTATTAAAATAAAAATGAATTATACTTACTAAAGCAGCCGATTTTGCAGTATCTTCTTTTACGGTGGTATCAAATAAAACAAACGTTTCCTCATCCGAAAATTGTGCCAAAGACTTTTTTCGCATCCTCCATATGATTTATGCTCGTCTCTACGCCATTGTTAGCAAGATCTTTTGCTAAGGACCCAAACTTTCTAGTCAAATCGTAGTTCATGCTACTTCTTATTTTTTTGCCCTCTTTTTGGATTTCTTTTTTTAAAGATTGCATTTCCTCTAAAAGTAAGTCGAAACCTGCAAAAAAGATAGAATTAAAAAAATTGAATAATAATTATATTTCAATCTCTAAAAAGTACGGTTACTGAAATTAGCTTCGAAGCTTGGCGTCGAAAAATATTTTTCTAGGTTTTTGAAAGTGAACAATATTGCTAATTTATTCACCTAAGTTTATGGAACTTTTTAGGACACTATTTGAACCTAAAATCTATAGAGAAATAGTTTAATTCTTTTTGGTTCCGCGTAGAAGAGTTTTTTTCGACGCTCAGCGTAGAATCTAATTTCAGGGACCTAAAAAGTAAATGTTATAAATAAATTTGTCAAAAAAACAATAAGTAAATTCAATTATTTCTAGAAATCTTTGCTTTAACTTTTCCAAAATTCAATTATTTTCAAATTTCTAATTATATTTTCAATTATTTTAATAAAATCCTTCAAAAACTTAATTATTTAAAACATTTATAGACTAAAAATTCTCTAAATATAATAATTAGAGATGTGCAAAAAGCTCGAATAATTAATAATTCATTAAAATTTCAGTCGCAGTGAATATTTTCATGAATATAAATATAAAACTTTTGAACTTTAGAAAATAATTAAAATTGATTAAAATGTTGAATAATTCAATTTTAAATTACTATTAAAGAACTATATAAAATAAAAGTTTAATTTGTAAAACAATACCGATATTTGTTCGTGATGATCTACTAGAGTTTCCAAAATGATTTGAAGTCTGTTCCCCAAGTTTTTGCTTCTTTGCAGCTGGTGATTTATTATTTGGTTTGTCGAATTCTGAAAAATAATTATCAATTTCGAATTTCAAAAATTTTTTTACAAAAATAATAAACGTTTAATTTTAATTTTTATAAATTTTACTTTAAACGAAAATAAATGTTTATAAATTATTACATATAATATAATTTAAAATATAAAAGTTTATAAACTTTTTCTGGTAACTCACTATTTTTTCGTTTACGTGATTCTTCTAAGTTCTTATTATTATCATTTTGGTCTCGGGTGTGCCTTTTTTCTAAGTCTTCAGATGACTCTGACATCTTCGATTCGTCAGAGTTGTAGTCTTCGTTTGAGTCAGTTTCCGAGCCTTCTCGTTCAGTTTCATCATCGTCGCTAGTAGATGCATCGTTAGTTTCCTCAGCAGCAGTGCTGACTACGTTGGCATATATAAATGCTCGATTTAATCGCCTCTTACCCTGCTCAAAATCATCTGAAAAATTTTTTAGAATAACTATTTTATGAGTAACTTTTTGATAACAGGTAAATAAACAGTGATGAAAAAGTAAGAAAAAAATTATAATTGATTTAATTTTTAAAATTACTTGTTTAATTTTTTTATAATTGAAAACTTCTTTAAACTTTGAAATTTGGGTCAGGGAAAAACAAAATAAAATTTTAATGACAACCATGATTATATTCTAAATTTTTTATCAGTTAAATATTCAGTTATTCCCAGCTTCAAGCAAGTAAAAATTCAATTATTTAAAATTTTAATTAATTAATACTTAAGTTATTTAAAACTTTAATCAAATTTAATTTTTATTCATGAAAACATTCACTGATAGAAATAATATAAATTCAATATTTATCGAAAATTTAAATATTTTTAATTTTAATAAATTTACAATTTAATTATTACAAATTTAAATGAATTTCAACTTATTTTTAAATATTTAAATATCGAGAGTTATTAAATTAAAAAGTTTAGGAATTGTATCGAAAATACTTGAAAAATAATAATTTTAATAAAATGTAACACATTTTTTCAAATTTTTATTACCTAAAATATTTATTTTTAGAAATTAATGTTATATATTTTATAATTTAAAACCATTTGAATAATTTTAATTTGGATAAATTCCTTGTAATGCAAATTTACATAATTTACAACTTATTCAGATTTGTTACATGATTAAAAAATGGAATAATTACATGTTTTATCATTTAAAATTTTGTACATTGTAGGTTACATGAAAAAATGTTAAAAATAGATAAGTTTTATTTAATGAAATAGTCACGTAATAGGTGACAAAATTAAAAAAAGAGAATATTAAAAAAAATTACCTGCTCCTTGCAAAATAGTCACAGGATATGTAATCCAAGACTGATGTGGTTCTGTTAGGTTTTCAATCATAGACTGCAACTTTTTGCTACTTCTTCTTGGATAATAGTAGAGATCCTAGAAGGAGAGATGAGACAAGTGAGGCACACTTTCTGATTGGTTCCGCCTAACCGGAATCGGAAGTTCACATATTTGCGCGGGAAGTGGACAAATTTCAAATAAATAATAAGACATTACATTGCAAAAAAATATATTTCATTAATATTAATAAAAAAGTATATTAATAAAACGCAAAAGATATAAATATAATATATAGAATATATAGAGGAGATGTTCTTTGATGTTTACAAAACTTTCATAAATTTTAAAAAATTGTAATGATGTTAATGAGTTTCAAAGAAGTTTGATCGGTTATCCTTTTCAGAAAATACAATTAAAAAGAAAATTTTATCATTAGAACAATATTGATAAATATTCATATAAACCAATTATAATTCACGAAGTTACTTACAGGTTATGTTGATTATGAAATAATTTACTTTAAGAGCTTTAAGTAAAATGTAATAAGTATGATAAAATAAAATAGTAATAAAAAAATAATTCAAAATAATATTTTGAAACGTCAAAATAAATATATGAATTATATATGTATAAATAACCTGAAACTGCTTTTGAAACCCATCAACATCATTAAAATTTTTTTAAATAATATATAGAATGACAATAATTTTATAATATGAAAAGTTTATAATAAAAGTATAAAATAATTTATTTTTTAATCATAAAAATATGAATTACCTAATAGATAAAATTATAAATAAGACTAAAAAATTTAATAAAAAAAATTTAATTTTTATTTTGGAATTAAATATAAATAAATATTACATTACGTTAGGATAAAGAATGTATTTAAGTGAAAGAACAACATTTATTATGCATATATATCTTCTTAATTGGTACAAAAACAAATCACAATTCATTGGAAGGTTCGATGCATCGCCATGCTTTTGCTGTCATATATTTTATCCTCTTTTTCTTTATTTTTGGCTTGGTTGTTTATTCTGAGGCGAAAAAGTAAAAATCTTCGCAAAATTTTTTCTCTTAGACCGTGGCACGGTAAAATATGACTACTCTCAATATTTTCGAAATGACAGGAGTAGAAATTAAAAACGTTTACATTTTTTAATCTATTTACAATTGGTTCCCAAGAGCGGAATTTTTGTTCAATTTGTAGAAATAGGTTGAACATATCATCGTTGACATAAAATAGCGAATTTTCCTTAAATTCTTTGAAAGCAACGAAAGTGGCAAAATCAAAATTATTTTTATCGTAGTTTCTTGAACCTACAGAAGCAATGCATAAATTGCAATTTTTTGTTGTTTTTTGAATACTGTTGATTAAATAACCAGCAACATAATATAAACAATTCTTTTCAATATTATTTAGCGGTTCAACAGATGTCAGTAACAAATCGTTGGATACATTTTCATTATTTATTATAAATTGAAAATTCGTTGACGACGCTTTTAATTGTGACTTATTTTGTACATTTTCAACATTTTCTAGTAACGTAATTGTTTTTAAAGGTCTCTTGTTTTCTATGTCTGTCCCAGAATTGATGTTTTTTTTAGACAGTCATTCAAAAAATGAGAATCATCAAAGTCGTAATTACTCGAATTGATTGGTTTCGTATATTGTGCAATTGAAATTATTCGTAGATCGTATTTGAACTGTAGGACATTAGGCGTTACATGTTTTGATCTTATTACACTAAATAAATTTTCGACAACATCTTGTGTAAATCGCGAAGTCAATACAAATTTAAACCCTTTTTTTTCGATCAAATATTCGCTTAACTGAATTGCAGACATAGTTGACAACATGAATCCTTTTTGAAATGGTTTAAAAATCCCTGCTTTTCCAATTTTTATTCGAGTAAGAAGATCCACCATCTCTTTCAAAAAGAAAATTGTTTCTTCGTATTTAACAATGTCAAATTTACTTATCGCGGATTGTAAATTCCTGGATGTCATTAGTCGAAACCATTTGGCGATGAAGCCAACGAACCAAGCTGTAGTTTCAAATTCTGGCTGAGACTTTTCATGAGATATGAAATATAGTGCTGCGCTAACCTTTGAACTTAAAATTTTCGTCGCTCTGCCCACTTTCATTTTTTGAAAGGATTTATTACTTGGAAGAAGTATATCCTGTTTTTTTAAATTGGGGGTTAAGGTAAAGACCAAACCTTCCTGAACTTCTAACATTTGAACTAAGTGTTCGGCGTTAACAACGTTTGTCGGTAAATTGTATTTTTCTTGAATGTCAATTGGTAAATAAATTACCTTATTATTAATAATACCTTGCACGATATTTTTCATTACATGTGGCACATCCGCAAAAAAGTAAAGTCGTCGATTGGAATCGCCACGAGGATGTGGATGTGGAATCGAATTTTCGATTCCCGCAGTTCTTTTAGCTGTTATGCCAAACGAATTCCAACAGGCAACATTACATGGTCCCATGTCAAAGGTGACGCTGTTGACTCGTAAACCGATGTTCTCGGCTTTAGAGATGATCTGTAAAATTATTGGTTTCAATAATGAGCCGTCGAACCCAGCACCAGTATATTCGTAACCGATCACTTGCTTCCAACGTGCATGAATTCCAGTTAAAACGTAAACTAATCCATGCTTTACTGTACCTTGGGCATTTGGTGGAAGTGTTATTTCTCCTATGTTCTCTTTTGTTTGAGGATCAAACATTTTTCCTCCCAATATGCTAATTTCATCTAATGCTATAGAACATTCTCTGTCGCGATCATTTTTAAAATTGGCCACTTTATACTCCAAATATTTTAACATTTCATCGGAAATTCCAGGTTTGAATTTAATGTGTTCTATTTTTCATGTAAGCGTTCTGCGAGATGGAAAAGGAAATCCTTGTTTTAACAGCTCCTCGTATCCTGCAGTCCCACAAGCAAATTTTAAACGTAAAGCTTTTTTAACTGTGGTATTTGACCATTTGGTAACCTTTGATTTCTCCCCAGCTCTTTGTTGTTTGATCAGGTGATTTATTTGATCTTCTGTGAATAAAGTTAACAATATTGCTTTGTATGTGCTGTGTTTCTCTGAGACCAATCTTCTTTTTTCTTTTACAACCTTATTTAATCGACTTTTTAAAAATTTAATTTGATGTTCCTGTTTTGCAAATAACTTCTGAACACTCTCTTCGTCACATTTAGGTAATTTATTTTGCTCTTTCATCAGTGTAGGATCAGTATTTTCTTCAGACTTCTGTTGGCTCATCTTTATCTATTAAGTAAAATAAAAATATCCAATTATTACTCTGATTACAGATAAAGGTGATTGTACTAAATAATATAATTTTCGTCAAAACAAAATTCTTTTTACCTGATTTCCAACTTCATATTCTACTTCAATCGCAGGAGTTGTTAGATTTTCAGGGTTTGTACTAGTCGATGCTAAATTAGAAATAATCATTGTCGATTCATTTGTCGGATTTTCAGAACGCTCATCAGAAACAATCATTATAGGTTTAATTGTTGGATTTTCCGAAGAATTATCAGAAATAATCTTTGTCGCCAATCTTTGCTGCAAGAAAACATATTTTAATTTAGAAGCCTTATTTATGAATTAAAAAGGAACTAAATACTTGACATATTTTATAATTCTCACTAAGTAAATATTTCTGTAAAAGAAACAATTGTAATAAAAAGAATGCTACTTACCTTTTTTCCTGATCTACAAAAAATTTCTCCAGATAATCTTTTTCGCTTTGGTGAGGTTGGAAATTCGCTTGGAACAGCATCTGTTTTTAAACGTTTTATGTTGTCAACAGTTTCCCACATATCCGAGGTAAAATGCAACTAAAGTTTTTAAAAGTAAACTTTAAATTTTAATTTATATCTTTTTATTTTTTGTACATTGTTTTTATTGTAATTCTAGTTTATTATTGCTATATTTACACACATGTTTTGAGAACTTTTTTAGGTTAACCAAACAAATGTTCCTTTTAAATTGTAATTTTTCTTTAACTTCAAAGTAAACTGTTACTGCGTGAGATGATTTATATTTTTTACATTACTTTTACCTTATAATTATAAAGAGAATTACCTGGCAAACACATGATTTCAATGTTGGGGCCCAATCTGGTCGATTTATACTTTTTACCCCACAAGTCTTTCAAAATTTCGTTTTTCGGGAAACATTTTAGAATTATGCCTTTACCCGAAACACTTTTACAGTATAAAATACAACACTGCACCATTTTTTTAAAAGTATTTACCACATGAGCCTCATGAGTGAAAAATACTCGAAGCGACGCAAATACAATCAGGCAATGCAATATCGCGTGTGACGTATAAACATAACCTCACTTTCAACAATCGTTGTTTAAAAATAATTCAAATTTTCGCGGGGATATAATGAACATCCGATTCCGGTTTGGCACCAGACTAGTGGAAGGGAAAACGTGTCTCATCTCTCCTTCTAGGATCTCTAGGATAATAGCAATTAAAAGGTGCTTCTTTGTTAACCCATATACTTGGCACCAAATCGATCATTTTTTTCCCTCATCATCTGTTTCGCCCAAAAATTCGACGACCAAAAATTTTTTTGCAAGGTATTTTTGTACGTCCTGAAAAAACAGACATAGTTAAGAAGTAATACAATAATAAATACACTGTGTCTATTTCAAAAGAATATTTCGCTTGTTCAAAGTTTTTCATTTGTTTAATTAAAAAAATTAATGTCATCAGTATACATAAATAAAAAATAATTGTAAGTTACCATCACTTTTCAGGGTGACCGCAAAAATTTATTTTCAAAATTCCCTGATTTGCGGCCACCCTGCTTTTATATTTTTTGTCACGGGCGAAATAGACACTGCGCAATAAATTAGATACAAGGATGAAAAATATGAAAAAAAGTGACAAAATAAGAAACAATGAATAGAGGCGGACTATCTACGATACTTAATCATATATTACTACAATAGTTACTAAAAACAAAATAATATTAAGCAGGCATAATAAATATATATATGAAATAACAAACCTCTTCTTCGCACGTTGTCGTTTTGGTTCTAAGTGGATTCATTCTCGTATTGATATAAAACTTAATGTTTCACACAGATTAGAACGGAAAACTAATTATTAGAAAAAGATTATTCTTTTTTTCTTTTTAATGAACTCTATAAAGACGGGACACAAAATTTCAAACTAAAGAGCGGCTCTGTAGAATGCACTTGCACGTGACCAGAAACGGGTTAATACAACTGGAAGCCGGGCAGGTATCAACCGGCATACAGAAATCAAAATGGCGTTTCCGTTTGCGCACCTCTCATCAGTTGCGCGGTAAATTCAAACTTTTTACTTGTTTGAAAATAAAAATATATCAATATATTATAATTTAAATAAAATCTACTAAATAATTAATGTAATTAAATAATAATATATGTTATTAAAATAAATTAATTATAACTTTAAACAGTTAATCTATATCTGGTATTAATATCATACAAATTTTTTTTCATATGAGTTGGAATATAGATTATTACTATTATAACCACACTAATTATTAGGGGATTTAAGGATAGTCAGACATTTTTAATAAAAGTACTCAAAAAATTAAATTTTTAGAATTCATATAAGAAAATTCTGAAATTTGGTGTATTTTTTGCTATGAAATTATTGTAACACAAAACCTTAAAAATTTTTCTATTTCTAACAGTAATTTCTTTCTAAATAACTTCATTATTACTTATAAATTATTTAATGAATAATTTTGCTTAAATATTTCAAAATTAATTGATTTTTAAAAAAATTAAGTTTACAATTTTTTATAAATAAATGAACTTCAAAAGGCTTTAATTTGAAATTTTATAAAATTTCAATTCTTAATGAAATTATAATTAGAAATTTTTTAAAAATTGGATTTTGCAAATTATTAATAATTCAAATTCTTCTTGAAATTAGTTAAATTTGTCAATAAATATTTAATTAATTATTAAAAATAATGGATTTATAAAAAAAATTTAATTAAAAACATTTAAAAAATTGAATTATGGAGAAGTTACAAACGTTTGCAGAAATTCAATTATTTTCAAAAGTAATAAAATTCTTCTCACAAATTCAATTATTCAAAATTAAAAAAAAATTCTCGTCAAAATTATAATTATCTTTATAGATAACAAAAATTTTCCTAAGTTCAATGATTTTCAATAATATCTACTATTTTAATAAATTTCCTAAAAGAATTTAATTTTTTAATAAAATTGAACTCAAACATTTACAAGTTATTTTCATAAATAATATAAATTGCAAACGAAATAAATTATTAACACATTTTTTATAAATTTCTTCTAAATAATTCAATTAATTTCATAAATAATACATTTTTTATGAATTCAATTATTTTTATAAATAATAGGAGCTCATCACAGAATTTGAATTATTTTTAATAGAGGTTTAATCGAATTCCTCGAAAAAGATAATTATTATTCAAAATTTGATTAAAATTCGTTGCAAGAGTTTAATTATTAAAAATTTGTTGATAAAATTCTTTACAAGAATTAAATTTCAAAAAATATTCAATTAATTATTTACTTTTGTATTTAAGGGGATCCCAAAGTCGATTAGATTTTGGCATTGAGCTTCAATGGAAAAATTTCATGGACTGTGGGACCCCCTTAAATAATTGAATAATTTTAAAAAGATTTCAAATTAAAATATTTGAAAATTTTAATTTTCTATACTTTTAACTGGAAATTTTGAAGAATTAACTTTTTTCAAAAATTTTAATTTAATTTTTTTTAAATTGAAATTTATTATACATGCAGGGAAAAAAAAAGTTCCCAGATATTTCAGGAATTATTTCCTAACTCTTGCACGGAAAGAAAAAGTCCGTCAACCATTAATGGATTAGTATATTACTTTGAGACGGGACACTTTTTCCGTTGATGGTTACTTAACTTTACTTAACGATTGAAAACGAGTCATGGATTGATTAGAATGCCAGTATGTGACCAATTGTTTTAGATTTAATGCTGAATTGTTATCAATGGCTGTTTGAATGTTTACGAATCATTAGTGAAAGTTTGTGAAACGTTAGTTGACTCGTATTCTAAATCGGCGCTCTTCACTAGCGCATTGTTGCGCAGTGTACCGATGCGCATTTCTTCCGGTTTCTCTATAGTCCATGTGTTTTTGCTGTCTGCTATACATATCCCTATATACTATTATGTGTAATGTGAATATTTAACTTAACTAATAATTTGCAGTTGAATTGCGTCTAGAAATTGACCTCGATGAAAATATATTTTCTTTTATATTTCTCGCCAATTAAAAAGTAGTTATTAGTGCAAAATCATTTCTCACAAGTTGTGAAAAATTTTGTTATTTGGTATATAAGAACAGTTTGCTTCTAAACTTAAAGTGTTATAAGTGTGCGTTTCTACGTGTAGTTATTATAAGTGCGAAAATGTGTTGGTCTAAACTTCTAAAGCGTCTAAGAGTGTAAATAAAATATCGGAACTGTGCAACGAAAAAAATGTGTTCATTCTGTACCAAATAGTGTCTAAAATTAGGGATAATTCTGAAAGAAGTTGAATTTTTTGAATGCTTTTGATAGTCATAGAAAATTTAATAGACAGTTTTCTAAATTTTAGTGAACGAGTTTTATATATTGATGACAGTTTTCTAAATTTTAGCAAGCAACTCGTCACTGATTGTGACTCAAAGTATGTTATCCATTGAATGATTTTGTGTCCCGTCTCAAAGTAATATACTAGTCTATTAATGATTGACGGACTTTTTCTTTCCGTGTGGATACGTGGTAACAGCTCTGAACTAGCGACGAACATTCAATGGTAATCAATGAATGTTTGAAAGAAATTCGGGAACTGTATTAGAAAAAGCTATAAATAGTCCATTAGTCTCTTTTTCATTACTTTCTTACACGGAGTAATAATAAGGAGACTGTACTACCAGTGAGATACCGTGCCAAATGTCTGCCTTGGTTCACTGAGTAGTAAAGACTTCTCAAAAATAAAGCGCATGCGCAGTTTGCAACTATCTTCGTCACTCTTGAAAGAACGATGAGAGAGATCATTATTTTGACGTGCGAGTTAGAAAGTGTGGTTATGTTTTATTGTTGACAACAGCAACTATACGGGAAAATCAAGATTTAAATAAGAAAAAATATTAATTAACAAACTGCAAAGAGAAGAGTAAGTACAATATATTATAATATTAATAAATTGTAATATAGGTGTGAGTAGATATTAGTAAAAAGATTATTTTTGTCGAACCGGAGTAATTCTTTTCTTTGTATGATAAAGTGAATGAATACAATATAATATAATGCTATAATCGCTATAATGCTAATATAATTAATATCTACTCACACATTTCCTATATTACAATTTATTAATATTATTTAATAGTATAATATATATTGTCAACAGTAAAACATAACCACACTTTCCAACTCGCACGTCAAAATAATGATCTCTCTCATCGTTCTTTCAAGAGTGACGAAGATAGTTGCAAACTGCACATGCGCGTTATTTTTTAAAAGTCATTACTACTCAGTGAACCAAGGCAGAAATCTGGCACCAGTTTGACTAGGGGATACGCTGGAGAGCAGTCTCCTTATTATTACTCCGTGCTTTCTTATGTAAAGTTTATGGCACTGGCCGCAACTGTTTCTGAAATTTTCGGGAATTCGTCGAGGAATTTTGGTGCGCAGAAACTGTGCGCACCAGTCTCAACAAGTCTCACCGTCAGTAAGACTTGCGTGCCTTATATATTTATTTTATGCTGAGGTATTTAACTCGCCTGTTTAGCTCAGCTGGATAAGACGCCGGACTTCTATTCTCGGGTACACGGAGAAACTTTTTCTTCTAATATTGAATATATTTGGTTATCTTTATTCTAAAAGTACGTTAGAATGTGAGGATTTTTCGTGCGTTGTGCTAATAATTTCAACATTAATACGAAAATATGATAAGTTCGTTATATATTAAGCAATCTTTGGTGTACAAAAATTACTATCTGCATTAGAAATAGTCTTATTTTTCTTTAGAAAAGAATAAAATGCTAGTTTTTGTTTGTGAAATAATACGGTAATTCTAACCTTTTTTCCACATATAGATAGAATATATAACAGACATTCTAACGTAACATACCAATTTTGAAAGGACTGCGGGCGGACTTAACCGATTTCGCCCGAGCATCACCGACTCCATCACCTGACGTCGCGAACTAACCCTAATGTTTTCGAAGTTGAAATTCACACGTGTATGAAAGATAAAAACCTTTTATTAATAAACGTGAATGTCTCCTCATGCCAAATTAAATTCAAGAACTGTTCCTCAATATAACATAATTTTTTTCACGACTTTTACTTATTTACATAATTTGATTAGTAAGTTATTTTAAAAAATGCTCTCTCTCGAAGGCACATATTTTTCCACTCGTTTAATATATAAGGACGATTCAGCTGTGTACTTCTAACGAATCGTGCGATCTTTCGGTTTCCGTGACCAATCGTCGTGTCTTTACTTGCGTGTGCGTGTGTGCGTTAATAATATAGGTTAGGTTCTTACGTCGTGTTAAATATATTTACCTACAGTTACAGTGACATACACTAATGCCATCTACCATCAGATCCAAGTATCACTATCGTCTCTATGAGTATCTATAGACAATTAATTTGTTGTATTTCTTTTTAATTCATGGCTTTCCCAACTTTGCAAAAATTATTATTTTCTTTCTAAAACAACATACTAATTTTCGTTAGTTTCCTTATGAAGAACTGTAAAATATATACTGAATGAGTGTTTTTGATAGTCTCAATAGCAATTTCTATAACCTATGTCGTTTTTCCCTTGAATCTAACCTAACATACTAAAATGTCTCACCAGTTTTAAGAATTAGTGGTATTAAAAGTTTCTCCGTGTACGCGAGTTCTGTTCCAGCCGCCGTCGATTTTTCTCTAATATGGTTTTTTCTATTTCAGAAACTTAATAAAAAATAAAAATTGTATGTGACCTTCAAGGATAAATGTGTGTGTGTGCGCACGTGTCAAGAAGTGGGAAGTGGGAGGGGGGAAGCAGAATTCATTTTTTCTTGCATTCGCCTAACTTTTCGATTTTCTTGAACAGTTCCCGACTTTTTCAAGAACAGTTTGCCGAGAAGTGGTGAAATAGTTATAATTTGTAGAGAAATAGTAAATTACATATTTAAACGAGGCAACCTTTAGTTATCTGTGTACTACCCGCCGTATCCAAGAGTTAAGAACGAAGTTCCCGAATAATCCTCGAACTTTTTTTTTCCGTGTGGAAATTTCATGAAAATTTTTCCAAATTCTCAGAAATTTTTCTAAACGTTTAAGAGAATTTTTCAAAACTTTGGAGATTTTTCCTACGCTATTTTTATTCATAGAATTCGATTATTCTTTAGAAAAATTCCCTTTATTCTTGTATTAGTAAATTTTTCTAAATAATTAGTGAAATTTGATTTCTAAATTTTCTTGGAAAAATTTCCAAAATTTTTTGAATTTCAAATAGGTTTGAATTTGACATTTTTAAAAATCATAATCCCTGTGGAAAAATAATAGGGGAGAGTGGTCCTAAGTTGGCCGCCTAAGCAAATTGGTCGAAAATAGTAACAAAATGAAATTTAATCACTTCGGCAAGTATATATTAGTGTTCAGAGATCGTTTTGCTATAATTTTGTGGTATTTAGAACGTTATAGAATGACTTTTGTAGTCTTAATACAATAAATCGTGAAAAGCTGCATTTTGGACATTTCAGAAATAGCGGTCCTAAGTTGGCCACCCCCTGGTCCTAAGTTGGCCACCACTTTTTTTCGCTTGAGTATAAGGAAGAAATGCATATTCTTTTCAATTACGCAGAAATTTTACAAATTTGATACATTTAGGAGAATAAAAACGCATTATTTAACTATTTTTGTTTAGAAAATGAAGCAATATTTTATTTCATTTATTTACAGTGGTGGATGGCTGTAGAGACAGGCGTTTTTGTACTTCATTTTTTCTAATGTTTTTTAAACCATTTTTTTTTGTTTTTTGTCTTTGTTTAATTCCTACGTTACACTTTTACGGTCTTTCTCGTGATAAAAAACACAAAAAAGAAATAAAACATAAATAAAAACAAACAAAAACAATAGGTGGCCAACTTAGGACCACTGTAGATTTTTACAAGTTTCAAATTATTACGCTAATAAAAAAAATTTATTTAAAAAATCAACAGAACCTCTTATTACAACATTAAATAAAGGAACTAGCGCACACACTTATTTAGAAATTTTTAATTATTTATCTCTTGTAGCTGCTCTCGAAAAAACAAGAAAAATCAAATTTTTTTGGTCAAAAACAATATTATTGTCCTCACAATGCGTAGAAGAATCTTAGATTATAATTAGGTCCATAAATTATATCATGGTTTATCAATATACCATACCACAAAATTATAGATTCGTCCAGTAAACCATCTCTGAGAAATGCAGGGTGGCCAACTTAGGCCCACGGCCAACTTAGGACCACTCTCCCCTAATAATTAAATATTTATTTAGAAAAAAGTTATTGATGTTTTCGAATAATTTTATATTTAAAGAAATTCGTAAATAAATGTAACAGAACATTTTTTTGAGTAAAATTTTTTTCTTTATTTTCTCAAAATTTTCAATTTTATTTTCAATTAAAATTTGGAACTGACAAATAGAATTTATAAACATTTATCCTTTAAAATTTAATTAAAGCAATTGTAACTAAGAAATAAAAATGATGCAAATTACTTTCTTATGAAAATTGAGAATTTTCTACAAAAATATTAAGAAATGGAAATATGTAATGTTTTTTCCCGAAATAAATAAAAAGTAGAATGACAAAGTCATTTCAGTCTCTACTCGTGTAACAAATTAAATAAATATGTAGTTTCATACATTGTGATACAAAAGGCTTTTCTTTCAATTAAACTCGTAGGGTAAATGTTTGAAGAAACCCTCACCGATTGTTGAATAAACAACCCCAATTCACACGACGGTATAGGATATTCAAACAGATTTTTTTTCCTAATTGTTGGACCCTGAATAAAAACAGTGTTCGTATCCTGAGAACTGCAAAAAATTCTCTGAATTTTCACGAACTCGCCTGATGTTAGTTGAACAAGATTGTTTGGATAATTAACGCTTAACTGAAATGATTTTACATTGATTGACGTATAATCAATTTCAAGTAATGTTCTTTCCCCGCTTTCAACACGATTACTCAGTTCTGGAATTTTTGTAATCAGGTTTGAGATACCTACTTCGGATAATCGTCGGACAATTTGCTGTAGCGGATTTCTTGGCGTTCTTATCAATTTTTTAATCAACCCTAAGAAGTTCTCAAAAGGGAAAGCCGAGTATGCTGTCAACGGGGCCTGCATTTTCTCAACGTCATCCGCCAAGTGTAACGTACTGTGTAAATTCATGACTTGAAAATCGTCTCCATACAATTCAGGTAATTTAGAGAAAAATTTTCTTAAAAGTTTTCGAGCTTCACGCACATGAGTGAGAGACAAAGTTGGGTGGCATTCGAGAAGCAACTGATAAATTTAAAAAATTTGAATAATATTCTTTCGAATGGACAAATCGAAGGATTATGGTTCCAACATATAATAAAAAAAACCTGAACTGAGTGGCTTTCCATTTTGTCAAATCTGATCCGTCAAAAGTTTTCCTTTGAAATTCATTGGGAATTGAACCTTTTAATTTTGAGAGTAACTTTGTTAATTTTTTCCTATCCTTTGTTTTCAATTTTCCTTTCTTTCTTTTTTGTCCTAACCACCTTTCCAACAAAGTTTTCATGCAACCATTACAAAGAAGATGCATGTAATCCAGAAGAACTTGACTGACAGGATCAAAATTTAGAATTTTTAGTAATGGTGATATCCTGTTTGGTATATGATGTAGTCGTTGGTTTTTTGTTCTCGGATTCGTAAATGAATGTTTTGTTCGCTTTTTCCTATTCATTTTTGGAAACACTCGCTTTTTGTTAACAGTCTTCCCACGTGTCTGCAAGAAATATGTATAAAAAGAATGTAACCTGATGAAAGAATTTTGGAAACTAATTAACGTTTTTTAAAAACATTTTTAGACTTATTTTAATCGCTATTTAATGTAAAATTTAAATATTCTACTGGTATTTCTATATATGAGATTTTAGTTGACCACCAAAAATATTTTTTTTCTATTCTGTTTAAAAAAACAGACACGTATTTTTCTATTTTTGTTTAATTGTCCAAATTGTTGATGTTATGAATTTTCGAAATTAAATTAAATTTTTTTTATAACTAAATTAATTTTTTTAAGTTTGGGCCGAATTTTTTATTTTTTTTAAATATAATATAGAGAAGATTTTCCTAAAAATCTCGAAATGGGCCTGATGTATTAAATGAGTTTTAAAACATTTTCAAAAATCACTTGCAAGCATCGCAGTGGGATTTTTTTACAATTAACTTTTTAAAACTCATTTAACACATCAGACCCATTTCGGGACTTTTTGGAAAATCTTCTATATATTATAAGGTATAAATAAATTTAAAACAAAAAAAAATCCAGTCCAAAGTTAAAAAAATTTAATTTGTTTATAAAAAAAAATTTTTTTTAATAAGAAATTTGAAAAAAAAGTTTTGTTTACATTTCTTAAAAGTCGAAAGAAAACTAAAACTTTCATTTTTTGACAACTTTTTCCTAAACTCAATATTTTTGTACTTATAAATTACTGAATATAGGTCTACAATTACAAGTCCTAAATTTTGAAAATTCATAACTCGACAATTTGGACAATTAAACAAAAATAAAAAATACGTATCTGTTTTTTTCGATACAGAATAGAAAAAAATATTTTTGGCCCACTTTAAGAGACGTCGACTTAAATCTCACGTAATCACGCCCATATATTTTTCCAAAAAAATTTCCAATGGCGAAGATAGGATCAAAAAATACAATTATATATAGCATAAACATATTTTACGCTACCATTTTTGCCACTTTGAATTTATATAATAATTTTTTGATTTCACTTTTGAAATTAGAAACTTTCATGGAAATACCAAAATAAAAAGAGGGGTGTCTCCATGCTCGCAGAAAATAGTGTATTAAAAATTAATTATAATGATTATTATTATTATTATTTTGAAATAATTTTTTCTATTTTATACTTTTTCTAAAGAAAAACTCTGGGTATCCAGTAACTTTTGAAAAAAATCAAGATTTTCAAGAGTCTTTGGACACCTTGAACTTGAGCCAATATTGAAAAAAATTATATAAATAAATCTGATAAAGAATTTTTTTATTAATGCATATAATGCTTCAAATTTACCTCGCATCTTTCACACGAGTAAAATCCTGTATGCGATTTCGTGCACTTAATATATGATCGGACTGGCATATCGCATACTAATGCAGAAATTTCGACATCGTATTTTTTGTTATTGACTTCCACTCCATTTGGAATTTCCTCTTTAATCTCTTCAACAAAGTCATATAAAAACTCTTCTACGTCCTCAGGTTTAGAGTCTCCACAAAAGATTCCAGCTAAGAAAGGCTTACAATAATAGTCCGGATGTAAAATTTGGACTAGGATGGGCCACACTTGAATTGAAGACTTATTGTATAAAGGCAATCCGTCAATGTTTATCAAAAGTTTAATTACATTTCCAGGGAATGCAATATTTTCAGGAAAAATACTATTTTTCAAAATGTTTGTTATTCCAAGATATATGTATGTACCATTAGTTTCTTTTTTCGATTTCATCGATCTTACTTTTCCATTTGTTCTTTGTGTTCGCAATAAAGTTTCTGCCGACTTCGGTAAATCAAAATGACCATAATCGCGCAAGATTTTCAGCAGTTCATTTAACGCGGTTCTTGTTATTTTATTGACATTATTATTAGCTCAATATTGAAGTTTTTGACGCAGAGTTTGAGGTTCTTCCGTGTCATTAGTTTTAAAATCGTCTTCTTCCAATCTACAATTTTCTGCAAAGTTTTTTTCCATTTCCCTCGCTTCGTCAGAATCGTAATCTGACAAAGAATCGTCACTAAAATTAATTAAAATAGACAATTATTCTGTAAAACTAGTCGAATATTTTTATATGTCAAAATAAAAATTATTAAACATATGTAAATTGTAAATTTTCTGAATATTTACCTTTGAAAAGATAAATTGGAAAAGATAGAGTCATCAACATACATTTTTTCCAATTCAGAAGGTATAGGTGGTAATGATGAATTTTCTGACGAAGAGAGATTCTCTGATGAATATGATTCACTCATATTTTGATTATACCTGCAAAAAATTATTTCTCATTGTACAATATTAACTTGCAAAAATCATTAGATAATATTTATTCGTTTATCGATATACAAATATTCGGATATTACTGTTTTGGTTAATTTACATTTTTCCACCAATAATTAATTTTTAAAGTAGAAATATAATATATATATGTAATTTGAAATTTTCAAAAAGCAATAACAATGTAGATTTCAATACTTTATTTTATTCGCAAAATCATAATATGCAAAAAGTGTACTTATAATTATAATTAAGGGAATATATAAATAATAAAATTACTTTTATAGCGAGGCGAAAAATATAATTTACAAAATATATTGTATACACTGAGAGAAGTCCGGGAACTAATACGTCCCGTGCGAGGCTTGAGTGATAATTTTGAATGTTCTTATGTGAACCCTCGATCGGGACGTCTCAAGCCCCGATAAAAAACGTGGAACGTCCCGAAGCGGGATTACTCAAGTAGAGTCTACATTGGATGAACGCGAACGTTGCCGTGCTGACGTCACCCATTTATAGCATGGGTGACGTAATACGTTCGCGTACACGTTCACGTTCGCGTACCATGAAATGTAGACTCTACTTTACAACTTTTAGTTTCGGTCACGAGTTGTTCTCTCACATGCGGGAACAATGTTTGACAGACTCGGGGCGTCTGAGCCCTAAATTCGAAACATCTCAAACGCAACAAGAACAGTAGCTTATAGCGACGTCTAGCGGTAACTATTACGCCCTAGACTTCTCTCAGTGTATAAATAACTTACTGTGGAATTAAATCAGTGTCCATCCTTGAACACTCATCCGACTGCGAGCTTACAAAATCTGAAGTCGATCCACATAGTGACAAATTCAATCGTTTATCTGGCGGCTCCAGATCACTCAAGGCGCTAGCACAGCTCCTACTGCCTGGCTGCAGGTTGACATGGTAACACATGAGTAAGAGAGTCAGAAAATTCAAATGAAATGTTTTTTCTCTCTCACTCTTATGGCGCCTGCCTGCGCAGGCAGGCAGTGAGGTGAGAGTGTACCTTTATGCTGTCGTCGCTGTCATTTTCGAGTAGCCTTTTTAAGGCGCGAGATTTCACTGCCCTATAACTTGCAATTTTTTTATAACCTAATTTATCACTAACAAACACCATTAACGGTATAATTAAAGGTTATGTGAGTATGACATTGTCATGCGCATTCAACAACGGTTGACCCATGGGCTGTTATTTTTTACAAATATTGGACCGAACTACGTCTCATTATTGGCAATCATAATTTGTCATTGTATATAGATTCAATAGTTCAGATACTTACAGGCATAATATTAAATAAATTTTTTTTTTTTTTTTTTTTTTTTTTTTAAAATGCTACTTATTTGGCTTTTTATTATCGTTTGCGATATATTTGGGTTTATATCCAATAAAAACAATCAGTTTATATGATACAACAAGATACAAAAAGACAAAATTTATTGGTTAATATTTTTTGAAAATTTATATTCCTTAGATAATCATTCAAAAATGTTTTAAGTTTTAAACTACAACGGCCCAGCAATCAACCAAGAAACGTCTCGTCATTGGCAATATTAATTTGCCATTATATTTTCCAGAGTAACTGGGGATCGGTGCCAATAATGGCCCAGTAATCGGCCGAGACACGTCTCGTCATTGGCAATATTAATTTGCCATTATATTTTCCAGAGTAACTGGGGATCGGTTCCAATAATGGCCCAGTAATCGACCGAGACACGTCTCGTCATTGGCAATATTAATTTGCCATTATATTTTCCAGAGTAACTGGCGATCGGTGCCAATAATGGCCCAGTAATCGGCCGAGACACGTCTCGTCATTGGCAATATTAATTTGCCATTATATTTTCCAGTGTAACTGGGGATCGGTTCCAATAATGGCCCAGTAATCGGCCGAAACACGCCTCGTCATTGGCAATATTAATTTGCCATTATATTTTCCAGAGTAACTGGGGATCGGTGCCAATAATGGCCCAGTAATCGTCCGAGACACGTCTCGTCATTGGCAATATTAATTTGCCATTATATTTTCCAGAGTAACTGGGGATCGGTGCCAATAATGGCCCAGTAATCGGCCGAGACACGTCTCGTCATTGGCAATATTATCTTGCCATTATATTTTCCAGAGTAACTGGGGATCGGTTCCAATAATGGCCCAGTAATCGACCGAGACACGTCTCGTCATTGGCAATATTACCTTGCCATTATATTTTCCAGTGTAACTGGGGATCGGTGCCAATAATGGCCCAGTAATCGGCCGAAACACGCCTCGTCATTGGCAATATTAATTTGCCATTATATTTTCCAGAGTAACTGGGGATCGGTGCCAATAAAGGCCCAGTAATCGGCCGAGACACGTCTCGTCATTGGCAATATTACCTTGCCATTATATTTTCCAGTGTAACTGGGGATCGGTGCCAATAGTGGCCCAGTAATCGGCCGAAACACGCCTTGTCATTGGCAATATTAATTTGCCATTATATTTTCCAGAGTAACTGGGGATCAGTGCCAATAATGGCCCAGTAATCGGCCGAGACACGTCTCGTCATTGGCAATATTACCTTGCCATTATATTTTCCAGTGTAACTGGGGATCGGTGCCAATAGTGGCCCAGTAATCGGCCGAAACACGCCTTGTCATTGGCAATATTAATTTGCCATTATATTTTCCAGAGTAACTGGGGATCGGTGCCAATAATGGCCCAGTAATCGGCCGAGACACGTCTCGTCATTGGCAATATTACCTTGCCATTATATTTTCCAGTGTAACTGGGGATCGGTGCCAATAATGGCCCAGTAATCGGCCGAAACACGCCTCGTCATCGGCAATATTAATTTGCCATTATATTTTCCAGAGTAACTGGGGATCGGTGCCAATAATGGCCCAGTAATCGGCCGAGACACGTCTCGTCATTGGCAATATTACCTTGCCATTATATTTTCCAGAGTAACTGGGGATCGGTGCCAATAATGGCCCAGTAATCGGCCGAAACACGCCTCGTCATTGGCAATATTAATTTGCCATTATATTTTCCAGAGTAACTGGGGATCGGTGCCAATAATGGCCCAGTAATCGGCCGAGACACGTCTCGTCATTGGCAATATTACCTTGCCATTATATTTTCCAGAGTAACTGGGGATCGGTGCCAATAATGGCCCAGTAATCGGCCGAGACACGTCTCGTCATTGGCAATATTACCTTGCCATTATATTTTCCAGTGTAACTGGGGATCGGTGCCAATAATGGCCCAGTAATCGGCCGAAACACGCCTCGTCATCGGCAATATTAATTTGCCATTATATTTTCCAGAGTAACTGGGGATCGGTGCCAATAATGGCCCAGTAATCGGCCGAGACACGTCTCGTCATTGGCAATATTACCTTGCCATTATATTTTCCAGAGTAACTGGGGATCGGTGCCAATAATGGCCCAGTAATCGGCCGAAACACGCCTCGTCATTGGCAATATTAATTTGCCATTATATTTTCTAGAGTAACTGGGGATCGGTGCTAATAATGGCCCAGTAATCGGCCGAGACACGTCTCGTCATTGGCAATTTTAATTTGTTATTTTAAGTTCGTTACTTGTGCCGATAGTGTGCCATTATTGGGCTGATATTTGGCCCAATGTCGGCAAATTAAATAAATTGTGATTCGCTGCCAATGCTGGCCCAGTAATGGGACGATTTGAATTCCAGTGATGGCCCAGTAATGTCTGACATATTTCGGCAGCCATTACTGGACTAATCTTAAGCCGTATTGACAATCCTGGCATTTCGCACTTGGGCTGGGACGTTTGAGAAATAATGCCTCATTAATAGACTGTAATATGATCGTTCAGTTTTAAAAATAAATTAGTTTATTTAAAGTAATCTGATTATTTAAACAAAAAACCAAAGAAACAAGTAATTATTTTTTCAAAATGGCACAACAAATTCAAAAATAAATATTTGCCTTTATATATTAAAAGATGTATTTTGGTGTTGACCAGAATAAATTGTAGTGAAAAACGTAAAATAGTGTTTGTTTTCGCTGGTCTTTATTTAGAGAATTTTAATCGTCTTTCCATGAAAGACCTTATCAGGTTATATCAAATCAACCTGAAAGATTTTTTACAAATTAAAAAAGAAACAAAAAATAAAAAACAACATGTAAAACAAAAATGAAAATAAGTTTAAACATAATCATTTTCTCCTTATAAAGAGATCACAGAAAGAGTTCTCACCATGTCATCATGAAACAAAAAAGTCACAGACACACAAAAAATAAAACATAATGTCAAAACGCATATAGAAAAAACATATACAGAAAAACAATAAAACGACATTAAACCAGCATTAGACAGCATTGTGGTCTACATTTCTGGATATTCTACATTTGCCTTTATAGAACGATCAGATTATAGTCCTTTATATATAATAAATCAGCAAAAAAAAGTTTGATAAAAAATAATCATTTGGAGCTGAGAAAATTGTACCTAAAAAAAGGCTTATTTCAATTGGATTTTACAACTGCTCCTTCCTCCTTAAGGTAATTCTGTTATTTAAATTCCTCATTTCAGTCAAAAATATTAATCATAGTAAATTAATTACATAAATAATATTAAGATAAGAATAATTTTAAAACAAAACTATTTGTTGACTTACATGCAATAAGGAAATAATTTACAATGTTAAGAAAATAGCGATATTTCCTTACTTCACATATAAACCCTCAATATTTATGTACACCGAAAAAAATCTCGATGGTATTATTAACTATGACTCTATAGTTAATCTTAATCTAGTAAAAGTAATAAGGATTCCTAATCATTATGGTTAGGATCGCTAGGTTGATTCAACAAATTCAAGCCTGGCAAAAACAACCCTGCAAATCCTAGTCAAATTGACTGAATTTTAGTAATTTTGCCTATTTCCATAATGCGCACGCGTCTGCTTCTGTTCTGACAGTGTTTACCTCTATATCTTTCGCGTGATTTATCGTGATTTCGTAAAACGATTTTTTATCATTACTCCCCAGTTGGGCACAAAGACGAAAAACGTTCTTTAAACGTCTGTAGAACGTTTAATGTCTGCCAATTTATGTTTTAAGAACGTCCGACTGTTCCAAAAATGTTTCGGAACATTCGGATGTTCTTTGAACGTAAATTGTCAGACATTAAACGTTCTACAGACGTTTAAAGAACGTTTTTTGTCTTTGTGCCCACTGGGTCGCGTCTATTTTTTGTACATAAAATGGAGTTCTTACATACATCAAAATTGCTGGTTTCTCGGAACCTCTGGAAATATAGATAGTCCATGTTTTAGAAAGTAAACTATTTAATTATATTAGTCAATTCTTTCAGACTTTTTTGGTTAGGTTTCAATATAAATCGTCGAAATTTTTACGCACGAGGTGACAACATTTTTACTATTTTAATCGCACAGTGTGTTTGAAAATTTACCTTTGCAATAATTTGTGTATTTAAATTTATTTTCATTTGAATGTCATAAATAATTAAAAATAAATAGTTTTTGACAAGTGTATAAAATTGTGTACTCGAAATGTATCAAACATCATCTGATTAAGTATTGTATTTTGACTCGAAAATCTAGTGTCTATTAAAAAATTAAAATACCAAGTCGTGTTTAGTGTAGTGGTTATCGTTCCGGGTTTCAAAGTGCGTATTCGTTAGGTTCAGGTGTTCGCGTTCTTCCTGCGTCAAATACTTATTTCATAAGTTTAAATTAATTCTAAGGTATATAAATACAAAGTCAAATATAAATATGTTCAAATACAATAATTAATTTTTTTCTTTTTTCTATTAATTAGTTTTTCTCTTTTATTTGCTAATAAGAATTTGATTAGCAACTTCAAATAATTATGATACACAGTGTAAATCTAATATTATTCTCCTAGTCAATTTGACTATTTTTTCCTGATTACATCGACTAATTTTCCTGGTCACTTTAACTATGCTTGAATCTTATATTACTTTGACCAGGATTCTATAGTTGGCTCCTCTCGTAACTAGGAAACCTAGTCAATTCCTGGTATACGGGTCCTAGGCATTTTTTTCGGTGTACGACTACCACTGTTACAATTTTTGGTGTTTTACCTTGAAGGGTAGTATGATAGAAGAAATCAAGTGACAATTTCATGATTTTAGAGGAAACACAAATAATACATTTGAAAACTGTTTTGGTAATTTAAGAATAATCTAAAAAAAACGTTTCAAGATATTATTTCGCTTCATCAGTAAAAATACAATTTATGAAGATAAACTTACATATCAGTAAGAAAAATAAGTAAATGTAAAAATGTTTATGTTACATCAAATGCGCATATATTCTATTAAAATTAATTGTAAAAAATATACAGTTTAAAGGAAAACTGAAAATTATTTTGGTAATATTGAATTGACTAATTGAATGTAAAAATAAAACAATTTAATAATAAAAATAAAAATAATTATCAACAGTTCTTGAGAAACATTTCTCAAACAACTCAGTGCAATCTCTAGATATGTCAATATCAATATTTCTTTGAAATAGTAAAATTCTTCACAGGATTTCAATTATATTTAATATTTACTATTTTAATGAAATTTCCCAAAAGAATTCAATTATTAAAAAAAATAATAAAATTTACTTAATTATAATAATTGTCTGTTGGATATGTAAAAATTTAAACTAGATTTTGCATCGCAAACATTGAGTAACAATTTTATTTTCACCAGTAACCTTCAAATATAAATTATTTTACAAGAAATTATACAAATAAAAATTGTTTCACAACGTCAAATAAAAATGATCTAGTACTACTATAAATCTGAATTCAGACAATTGAAACTTTTGATTTTGCTGAATTATCTTTGCCCTTAATTTATCAGAACATTTAACTAAATTCATTATTGGAGAAGAATGTTATTAACAAATTTCGTGTGTCTTGGTTTGTCATTTCGATTAACATTTAATGAATGAATAGCGTCGAAATACATAATTATTTCTTTTGCAGTAGCGATGATGTATATTTTTCCCCTGATTGTGAATTTGTACACTAGAGAAGAAAGGACTATAAACAAATAAATCCCGAAGTGAAGAGTGTTCTACTTGTTTCACATATCTTTCTTCGTTCAAAATATTCTAATTTTAATTGATTAGATTGCAAGTTTTGCTTAGAAGTTTACTGTATTTTGATTAATAAACTAAATTAATCTTCTAAAATTTTACTTTCTTTTTAAATGTGATAGTTTCTTTATGAAAAAACCATTTATAGAACACTCATTATTGCTTTCTCATAAAAAGAGTTTTATAATGATGACGTTTTAAAAAAAACCGATAATCGTTTAGTAAAAAAAGATTTATAAAACGCACATAAAAAAGTTCTTTTAAAGATCGTACTTTCAGTGTTCAAAAAGTCATGAAAAATGTAATATATTTTTCAAAATTCTTTTCTTCATTAAAATTCGGACTAGTATGAAACACCCACAAAAATTAATTACAAACTATTCTGGAATGTTGACAAGAAATAGTAACATACAAGCACATTCGCACATTATATCCTTGGAAAATTGTTTCTCACGTTATAATTTATTCATTCATGGTAAAAAATAGTATAAATTAATTTTAAACCTATTATATCGCCATTACTATAGAACTTTCACTATGAAAAAGCAAAGGCCTTTCTATCTGCAATAAATTAAACATTTCTTAATCTTAGTTAACATTTTTATCTTAAAAATTTTAAATCAATGAATTTGTAGTTCCATTGTAATTAAAAAATTTCAATATTTATATAAATCGGGGCAGTATTCTCGTAGTATTATCACTTCCAAAAGTAAATTTCAGTAGTGAACATAAGCATATTTCTCTACTTTCATGCGGTATTTTACATTTTATAAATTTTAAAAGTTGTATCACTTAAACGATTTTTAAATTTAAAAGCTTTTTATACCGAGTTAAAATTTTAGACTTTTTCTAAAAATTTTGAAAATAATATAAAATTGTACTGAAAAGTTAAAACTTCAATTCTGATTACTTTACAAGAAAACTCATATGGCAAGTAGAGTAACTCCGGAAGAATAGAACAACTTTTGTTATTGCTAATTTAATTAAAATACAAAAGTGTGTGACACCAGTTTGATTTTTTATATTCTTTCATTTTAAGAATGTTTTTAGACAAAGCATATCACTACAATGTTTTAACTCTTCAAGTGAGATAAAGCACATGTACGCTAAATAATATCTGACTTTTTCAGATTGTAAATTCCTTAAGGGGTTACATGGGTCAAAACGACCTGAAAACGTATGTTTTTTTAATAATTTTTTTTCATAAAATAAATAAATTTTTTTATTTGAACACTTTGGTATCTGAAAGTACACTATTAAATGAGAAAGATATTAAATTTTTTATAAAAAATATTAAAAATCAGGCCCGTAGCAACAGTTTTTCGGGCCCCTTTAAAAAAATTGCTTTTGCGGTGGTCAAGATATCTTTTGACTGCTTTATCTAAAATCAAAATACAAAAATTTTTCTGTTAGTGGGCGAATATATCTCGTGATTGAACGAAGGGTTTACAAAGAAATTGAAATTTGGATGTTTGACAGTGTCTTTTATCAAAAGTTAAAATTTTTAGAACCATTAAGACCATGTAAAATCGGTTCTAATCAACAAAAAAAATATTCCTTCGTTCAATCACGAGCTATACTCATCCACTAACAGAAAATATTTGGTTTTTTTATTTTAAATGAACCGGTCAGAAGATATCGTGACCACCGCTTTTTTGGAAGGGTTCTCAAAGAACCTGTAGGTACGGCCCTGATTTTAAATATCTTTTAACGAAATTTTTACAAGTTACTCTTTTAATAGTGTACTTAAAGATATAAAAACACTTAAATAAAAAAATGTATTTATTTTATGAAAAAAAAAAATTAAACAATCATACATTGTCCGGACGTTTTGACCCATGTAACCCCTTAACTATATTCAACTGAATTTGAAACTTATGTGACGACAATATGTGTGAAAAATCACTCATGTTGTTTCATGGTGTATGATTTCATCTATTGACAACGGTGCAATTAACTTCTTTCTGTGTAATAATCACTTGCATACATTAGTTAATACATTTTATAATAAAACTGTCTTGAAAATAGGTTCAATCTTCACCGGAATTACTCTACTATATAAAAGAGATGTTAAAATATGTAATTTTTAAATATTTTATACTTTAAATCATGGAAGTACTTTTAAAAATGAATTTTAATTCTGAAGAATAAAAACTTCATTATTATTCGATTTTATTAGTCAATAGATTGTATGATGTTCGACCCATCCTTATGTTACGAGAAGCGATATTCTGGAGGAAGACAATTAGAGTCTGAACTTTCGTAAGCTGCCGTACTGTGCAAACAGGATTTGCTGGATGAACTGTTCCTTTTATCAGCATTCAATCCTTTTTTCTCACTCTTGCGAGGACGTAGTGTACTCTTGAGGACGAAACGCTTGTCTTTTCCTACTTCTACTAAGCAATTTGTATTCTGTAGCTGCTCTTCACTTTTAGTTGTATTTTCTTCAGAACCTTCACTTCCAGTCTGCATTTCTCCTGTAAAATTAGAAACATATTTGTATAGAAATATAAAACAATATTAATATGATGTTTAGAAAATTAACATTGGTTTTTAATTCGTATGTGTCTCAAGCTTCCAAAACGAGAAAAATCGAGAGTTCGGAAATCGAACTAGACCGAATGTCTGGGTAGAAGTCTACCCGGAAAAGGTCCCCGCATAAATAAACGGATCGTCGCGGGTGCTTTCACGAGTTTTGTAACATTGTGTTGGAGAGATTTTCCTCTCATTAAAACAAGTGAAAGTAACATCATTAGATCGTGTTGTTAAGAAAGCGCAGAAAGGAAAACGAAGTTCTAGCAGTCCAAAAGGAACAGCCTAAATAAAAAACAGGAAGCTTATCCTAAGAAAATGGATGTCGATGCTACTGAGGCACCAAAGCAACCACTATCAAAAATTATGAATCACACAAAGGTTGTAGAAACAAGAGCTACGGAAGAGGGAGATCTATTGATTAATATCCAATGCTTCTACTGCTCAGGTTGTCAAGGTGGTCGGAAGCGTGGGTTAGGTGCAGTCGGTGGATCGAATTCTTTAGATCCGCGACAGGGTTTGCCTTATCCAGGAAGAAACCCTCAGAGAGTCAAGACGCAGGCTGGTGATGGTTCTATGACCCAACCAACGAGGAATGAAGCTCGTGGCTGTAGTCACTAGCTCAGAGGAAGCGGAAAGGCTGGAAACGTTAGGGCACATTAAAATTGGTTTTATGTATTGTACAATTCGGAAAAGAGTCCAGGTAGTTCATTGTCATTAACCTCTTGGATTCGGACATATGGGAAATAATTGAAAAATTGCGGACCAGACGACTGCGTGCACTTTAAGTGCGGAGAAGTAGATTATAAATTCGCAGTTAGTAAAATGAGCTAAAACTGCTTTTTTCATGCAAAGAAAAGTTCGGTGTTTTTATAGGTGTTGTCAGAAGTGCAGCATGTAGAGTCTTCAGGTGAGCCCTCGAGGAGGCGAAGGAGACTCTCGCTAGGACCAAAAACAAATAGATAGGTCAAGGCAAATTAGTAACGGAATAGATTGCGTAAGCGAAATCCCATTGACTTTTTCCTACGAAGTGGATTATGATAATAAATAATAATATAATAATAAGCAGTTTGTAATTATTGAAGCATTTTGTATTCTGTAGCTGCTCTTCACTTTTAATTCTTCACTTCATAGTGCCAAAGTGGTTGACGTATACCTATATGAATTGTTATGAATCAAATTAGAAAAAGGAATAAATTTGTATAATTTATAGACATAAAATTTTATTTTCTATTATCTCGGGAAAAGAATCATATGAGATTTCAGTCACTTTAGTTTTGGAAGCTTGAAACACAAACGAATCAAGAACCAAGCTTAATTTTTGTCGCCCTTTTCATCACAAAAATGACCACTCTAAGCTCAGTGTGAGTATGGTATTTTTTATAAAAGAAAAATGTATCTTTTATGGTCAAAACTATTTTACATTGAAATGCTTGGTGTATCAGAAAAATATTTGTAGCGATCTCCTATTGGAAAAAATATTCTAAATAGGACTGTAAATAGGATCGTAATTATAACTAATTACGTTCCTCATAAGGATAGTGTAATTAAAACAGCATTAATAATTTAAACGTAATATTATGGTGAAAAATATTGTTTAATAAATTGAATTATAAATATAAACGTAGGTACAACTATAAATGTGATTTTTACGCCTTAACTGCTGTTTCAAACACTCTACCCTCATTAAGATCGTAATTATACGGTTATATTAACAGTTCAATTTGCTGTCTTACTTACACTGAAAGACCTTTGGGTCAGCAGCATACTTTCGATAGGCTGCTACTGACCATTTTGGTGGTACGCTACAGGATTATACTTTTGGGTTGCTGCGGTACAATTTTGGGTGCGTGACAGTCCAAAAGTTGTTTAGCTGCAAACCAAAGGCGGCATCCCCACTACTTCGGTGAGCTGCTTACCAATATTTTGGACAGTCACGCGCCCAAAATTGGACCGCAGCGCACCAAAATCATAGTAGAGCTGTTGTCACATACGTTGTTCCGCTACAGTCCCAAAGGTCTCTCAGTGTACAATCCCATTTAGATTTGTATTTTTAATTGTATTTACATTCTGCGTTCGATCGCCTTTAATAAGGAAAGCAGCAAAAATTTCCTTTAACACATATAAAGAGAAGATAATGTTTAAAGATAATGTAAAAAAAAGTTTAGCAAAAACAAATAATTTTACCTTGAGTTGTCTGATCGAGTAAAGGTTTATGTAACTTGGATGGGTAATTTTTTTCATTATTCAAATTTAATGGGCAATGTTGTCTGGCATTATTGTTAGTTCGAAATATGGACTCAATAACTTGTCTGGATAGAAGTGGTGACACAGGATGTTCCAAACGTGTTCCGTAAACATTTCGTAAAGTATTGCTAGTAATTTTTCCGTTGTCATACATTGTTGTGATTGATGAATTGTCAACAATTAGTTTCTCAGTGTCAGAGTCTCCAATATCGCTGTAATAGTTACTGCTGCTTTCTGATTTCTTTAAAATAGATTTTGATTTACGTTGTCGCTCTAAAATTGGTGTTGCCTCGCTATCAATTGAATCGACCGACAGTGACAGCTTACTTCCAGTAGTCGATCCTGAAATTTTCACTTTTCAATACTATATTTCATAGATCACTAATATTTCGCTACGTGATTTTCAGTATGCGGTGAGCTGGCGACTATGCTCTAATTCCTTCCAACATTTTATTATTAGTAAATTGATTACATTTTCTCTTTCACCTTTAAATTAAAAGCGATATACAATATTTAAGTAAAATGAAGAAAGACATTTTATTTCAAATAAAATTTCTTAAATTTTTAAGTAGTTAAACATCAGTAAACAGACGACATATTTAAAATAAAAAAGTAAAACTCCCATATAACTTCCAGGAGAATTCAGAACCTGATATAAGAACGATGAGTTTGGGTGTAACTAAGATTTTTTATATTAGTTTTATATTAATTCGGACAGTTTTAATTTTGAAAATCTTCCTTAAGCTTCGCAATAAGCGATCCAAAAGCCAGCGACCATAAGATAACAGCAAATTTAAACTACGTCTTGAGATTTTGGACTTGTTTTTTCATCTGTCCCATTGTGAGATGGCATTTATTTTTCCTGATAATTCAGAGAAACCTTCTTAGTCCAAACATATTTTTGAAAGGCATTTGAATATAAATTATAGATACGATAGAGAAAGTGCAGAAGTTTTTAATACATTGACATCGCATAAAGATGTTTCGCATTTAGCAAGGGATCATAAAAGAATTTTAAGAAATGAAACCTACTGCAGCAAGTAATAATGTCAAGTCAGATTTGACGAACACGAAAAGTTAATTTAAAAGTTCAGCTCTTTTGAGATATTTTTAGTAATTAAAATAAATATCACGTTCTTATTAACTGTTAAAATAAAATGTCTTTCTATGTAAATATAATCAATTTCTTGTTAAACAAATTAAAAAAACTAATGGTGCGATATGGTACAAGTTATCCTGTTCAACATTAAAATTTAAGATCTATCATTTTCAAATATATCTTTATGGTAAAAGAATGAAAATATTTCAGTGAGAGTTCCCTGCGAATTTTTTCAACTGGGCTACTGGCCAAAACTGTAAACTCTACCATCATCTCATAACGTCCAGATATTCCTGATATACTCTTTAGATATTTAAACCATGAGTGGTTAAAGAAAATTCTTTGAAAGTTCATACATTACTCTGAATATCTATTTAAGGGTGAAAAGTACAGTAATTTCCTGAGGTTAAGATCTAATTTTTCTTAATAATAATTATTGAATTTTCAATAATAGTTTACATTTCCCTTTACTAATACATATTCAAATTGGTTTATGTTTATTGTTAATTCTATGATAAAGCACGATTAATATAATAAATTGATGTTATTTAGTAAATGATAGTAAAAATGATAGTAAAAATTTACATAAGTTTAAAAAGATATATGTATAAAACATTAGATACTTTTAAAAAGAAGTCAATTAAATTGTAATCAATTTACTATATAGGTTGTCGTATAGGTGCAAAGCCTGGAAAAGCGTGAAAATGATGATTAGAAATTAAAATATTTTCATCAGAGAATCAAATCTAAATGAGGTAACGTTTTATATAATCTTCTGTATAAAAAATTTCTGGAATAGAAAAATTGTACCAACTTTGTTGCATATGATTCGTACACCATTAATTTATAAAAATGCATTGAGCAACAACTCAATAAGTAAATAGTGTTACTAAATTCTTCGCTACTATAAATAGTGGCCTTGTGAATAGAGACACTACTTTTTGGTAGAGGAAGATTCTTAATAATAAAAGAAGGTCCTCGGAATCTAATTTTTCCCTATCACTGATATGAATCTTTTCATTCTGTATATATAATTTTTTTAACTTTTAAATCATTAAATAACTTAACTTAAATTACAGAATAAAATAAAACTAATAATAAAATTCAATGTAATGTAAATTTTTCAACCAAATACATATAATTTTGGTGTTTTAGAAATCTTGGTGAATATTTTTACTAATCTATTATACAAGTATTTAAAATTTCAATGTTTTCTTTTACAAAAACAGAAAAAGGTGCTTCTTGTAATTATTATTATCTGATTCTCAGATAAGTACGTCAGGGTTTAAACAAATTTTTAAATTGCCAAAACAGCCGTTTTCGATCATTAGGTATCAGATTAAAATACAAAGTAATAGATCCTAAAAGAGTCACCTCTTCCTTTATTGTAATAAAAACCATTGAAATTTTGAAGGTTACTTTTACTATTGCTTTATAGATTTTATCTGAATCTATGTAAAATTAAAAAAATGCGCAACATTAATTCATATAAATATCAAAATTGTTCATTCAGACTTGTCTGTTTCTTTGTAAATTTGTAATTGTTTCCTTAAAAGTTAATTAATAAACTTTAATAAAAATTGTTACATTTTTTTGATTCAGCTTATCACAATACAAACTTTTATACATAAAAATAGATTCAGCTTTAAACAGAGATAAACCCTAAATTTGTCATTTTTATTATTTTCTTTAAATGAAATAAACTTTAAATAAATTAAAATCATCTGAATTCTGTTAACTATATTTATTATAATCAACCTGTAAAAATACGTAAATATATCACATTTTTTTCCTTCTAGGTTAAAAATTTACAACTTGATATAACCTTCATAGCATCCGAATATTAAGAATATATCGTATGAATGTCCTAGAAAAATTAGGATATTCCTAGGGTATCCCACGGGGGTCCATGATCATCCCTGAGACATCTTAAGAATATCCTAATTTCCCTGGACCAATGGTTATTCCTTGAAGATCCATTGAACATCCTGAATATCCGGATGCTGTTTGGGAATATTTTCCTCCTCAAAAATGATATGATTATAAATCCAAATCATGTACACTTTATTTTTCTGCAATCTTTACTTTAATATACGCCAGTATGCCAAAATTTTAATATTCTATGTTTAATAGTTTGATAATTAATAAAAAAATTTAAAAAATTAATAATTTTTCTTGCGAAACAAATTTTTGATTTTAATGTTTTTTAAAATAAAAATGAAAACAAATTTGTTGGTAAAGCTATTACCATCAGCTATTACCATCATATACCCTATACCCGCCGATGTTGTTCATTGCCAAACATCATGGATGTCATCGATATGTTGGGCAGTGCTTGGGGGAAGAAGTAGAAGAGGAAGTTCATCCAGCATCTTGAATGTTAGTAGCACTAAAAGTGCTTTTAGTCTGATGCCTTTAGAGTTATATGAGGAGGCTATCAACGAAGAGCGTGAGAAGTGCAAAGCATTGAGAGCGGAGGAAGCTAAAATGCTTCTTCAATTAGAGGACAAACTGCCCAAAATGTTAAAGTCTTGTGAAGTTCAACAAACGTCAACCGAACGATTCTTTGCGTGCTCGCATAGAAGCACGAAAAAGGAATAGAAGCCCTGCTAGTCTAGAAGTTGGAAAATGGACAGACAAGAAAAAAAAGAAAGAGGAGACACCTTCTAAAAATAAGTGCACTCGGGTTTTAAAGGAACCGTATTGTAAACAGTTAAAGATTGAATCTGGGACGAAAAGATCAACGGTTTTTATCAAGATCTCAGAAGGAAAGTGGGGGAAAGGCCTACAAGAAAGGGAGTCCTTTTAATACAAATCAGAGGAGACTCCAATAAAGACGGTTTCACCACTGAGGTCACCGAAGTGGTTGCAAGCATGGGGAAGGTAGTCAGTGGATTTTTTCGAGTAGTAATGAAATAACAGAAGGGTAGGAGATTGAGATTGGGAAGAGTAGTTGCACTCTTTGTGGACTCCAAGACACCTTTTTTCTCAAGGAATAGAAGAATTTTCTGGATAACATGTAACGAAGTGAATCATTACTTACTTTGAATAATCTGTCATGTTCGTCTGTCTCTAGCTTACAATAGGCCAGTCTCTTTTCTTGCCAATTCTCTTGTACCTTTCTTTCGTATTAGCGTGTCAGGAGCTGTGACTTTCGTGAAATCTGAATTTTAATGATTTTGCGAATGATTAATTATCAGCAAACTCAATATGGTCAGTACTGTTCCATGGAAATATGGAAGAAGAGTTTTTCTGTTTAAGAAGGAAAAATAAGGAAACAGATTGATAATGAGTAAGTCTTCGGGGACAAGCAGGTGGACCGACATTACTTGCGGAGCTTCGAGAAGTCGTGAAGCGATTTGGCGAGTATCATGTTCGAAACATTTTGAGAGAGTTTTATAAATTAATTTGTAGATTATCTCTTAATTATTTTGAGATTGAGTTTTATTAATAAATTGTTGTTTTTGTTAAATCGTGTTTTAATGAGTTTGATGAAAGGTGGTTTAAAAGGATTATAGAGTTTTATATGGAGACGAGGGAAAGGGTTAAGATTAGAAAGAGCTGAAGGAGGTGTTCTGGTTAGAGAGAGTTGAAAGATAAGGATACCCATTTACTCCGATTTTATTCAAACTAGGGTAATGTCACCTTGATTGGACCGCCTAAACCTTTTTTCGAAAAAATTCTTTATGAAAGAAAACGTATTTACGTTTATCGCGGAAATTAATTTCTTACTGCTTCCAAGTGCGGAGCTGCTATTCGCACTATTTATTTCACGTTTCCGCTGTTAGATCACTTAAAAATTCAAGTGGTCCACTCAAGGTGACATCATCCTACTAATAGCGGATATGTAAAAAGAAATTGGCTGGAAAGTTTAATAGGGGGTAAGTTTGGATAAAAAAAGGGTGTATTCTTTAACATATGTGAGTGACGTTGTATTGACAGCTAAAAAAGAGATTAGAATGAAATTGTTATAAAAAGTGTTTGAAAAGTATTAAGGAGAGAAAGATTTGTATCTGAGTGGGTAGAAAGCAAAAGTAGTGATATTTAGAAAGATAAAAAAACAAAAATGGTAAGAGCAGGAAAAGAAGTAGGGTTAGTGTAGAGAGTATCAGAATAAAAAAAATTTTAAATGATTGTAGAAGGAGAGTGTAGTTGTTCAACATCATGTTGAGTTATGGAATGATAGTATGGAGGGAAGAAGGTGAAGAAGATAGAGATAGAGATGTGGAGCATATCTTTTAAAAAGTAAGATAGGTGTTGCATATGAACAGTCAGTAAAAAAAGTTAAATAAAAGAATTGAAAAGAAAAAACTTCTGATTGTTTGAGACGCTCTGGATTTATTCGAGATATTCGAGGACATTTCAAAGATAAAATGCCTTCTCCTATTCAGCCTTCTTCATTTAAATGTGAGTTTTGAAAACATTTCTTTCCTCGATTAGTACAAGGTGGAGCTTAATGACCTAGATGTCACTAAATTTATTAAATACGGCTACCTATTCTGTAGCGAAAGTCTGTTGAGCGTTTAAAAAATTGTCTTTATTTCTTTCTTAATTTTCATGTATAAATTTAATTAAAATATATACAAACAATAATTTCAATGAATGCTTAAAGTAAGGAAAATAAGGTTTTAAAATATGAAGACTAGAATAATATTTTCTCTGCTTAAAACGCAGAACTTTATTACTATTTCTAGTATTTTTTATACGTTTGAACTATGTGGAACAGAGGGATTGGCGAAAGAAAAATATTTCTTAATGAATTCACCCCAATAGTGTGTACATAGTACGTATAATAGAACTAATTATATAATGTGAAAAATAGTGAAGACAACGTGTGCGGCATTTTTTTTGGAATTTACCACCTAATTACCAGTATTTTGCTTGGAATCACTAATAGTTCCAAATAGATGGTGATTAATAATCCTCGTTGCTGAAGCAATATGACTGTTCACTGATGGCGATGGTCTTCCTCCTTTTAAACCATTATGGTGGTTATTGTTATCTTCTTTTACATCTTCCTTTATCGGTGAACTTATACAATCTAAGAGATCTTGGTTGTTAGGCAACTGAGCGCGTGGTTTAATATACTGAAATAAGAAGTATATACATTAAAGGTATGGATTAACCGAAACTTTTAAATAATTAGAAGACAAACGGATATTTCAGGATATCATATGAACGTCCTAGCCGTATCCAAAAATTAGGATATTTTTAGAATAATAATAAGATATCTATTTAAAATGCCGTTATTAATGAAAAGTTTTCTAAGCCTATTAATTCAAAATTGATATCTGTTTTTGGGATATCCTGAAATATCCGTAGCTGTTAGGGAAAATAAAAATTAGTTCAGAATTTTATGTACTTTCCCATAAAAAATATAAATACCTGTTGAGTGCGAGTTTTCCTATGTTTTGGAATTGATTCATTTATGTTTAATTTACTGCTTTTATTTAATAAATTAATATCTTTGAGCGATTCTGTACTCGGTGATATATTTAGAGTAAAATGCGCTACTCCACCAGACACAGACTTTTTTACTGTCATATTGCTACATTTATCTGTACCTTCTAGTGGATTAACATATAAATTACTATCTGCATCTTCGGTTAAATCGCTTTGGGAATAAAATGGATGAGTCTGGCAGCTAGCATACGTATCAGAACTATCCACACTGCCACGTTCGTTGTAATTATTTTTACTAACGCATACATTTGATTCTAATATCGGGACTGGAGACAGTTGTAAATCATCAAAACAGGTATTTTCCAAACTACTACCTCTCAATGATTTTAATTCTTGACAAATTGAAGTTTTGAAATCACTCGTCGCTAGAGGCATAATATCTTCTGCATCTCGATATTCTTTATATTCCTAGAAAAAACCATAATTGCTTTTATTACACAATGCATAAAAACACTTATAATACATTTACTTTCCACAGATCTTAACAAAAAATATACATTTTTTCCGTGCGTTAAAATTACTAGATTAGGCTCCATCTTCTTTTAAATTATTATCAAATTAAAATTTAACTGTTTCATAGGAAATAGAGAAATTGTAAAATATACAATCAAATTCCTAAGTCGGCAAAGACTGTCGAAATATAATTTTCATAGTTAACCTATTCATCAACGCAACTAGAAACTTATAAATATTTCCACAAGTATAAAAAAACTAAGTTATCATTTAAGTTGAAATGCATGTCAGGTTGTTCAAATGGTAGTATTTGTTTTTACTAATTGGAAAATATTCATAGTCCTCTTCTTCTATAACATCTTCAAGACACTATATTCATAATAATAATAAAATTATTCATAAAAATAATAATCAAGGTCGCGTGATATTATTTCAAAGCAAATATAAGTACTTTTATTCGTAGTTAACCATAAATCGCAATTTTTTAGTTGCCATTGGTTAATATGGTTAAGAAGGCTTTTCAAAGCGATGATTAAAATACGAAAAACCATAGAAGTATGTAAGCTGTTAGACAACAAGAAATTGAAAAATTAAAGCCTCTAAAAACAATTATGAACTTGAGCCAAGAAGTTCAAGCTATAAAAAAAGTCATGAAAATTGAGAGAAAAAAGAGTTAATAGGGGATACGTTGTAAGACATACGCAGAAAAAATAATTCAGTGAATTTTACATAACTTTTCTAGACTAGAGTATGCAGGCATTTACAAAACTAATTTTCTATTCTTATAGATTTAAAGACTTGTTAAGAATGTTACTTATTCAGTATTATACAAGTTATGACCCAGTGGACAAAAAAATCATGTTTGTTTCGAAAACAACCTTAACGGGATCTCAAAGTCGTAGGAATTTTTAAACAGAGCTTTAATGGACAAATCCCGACGACTTTACCATCCACTTACATCAAATTTTATGTCTTATATATATATAGTTGAATTTATCACTTTGTCGAGATTTATATAGGTGAAAAAGTCATTCGTTCTATAATAACACAGTAAAATATTCGTACCGAAGAATTGTATTTGATCGTACGTGCGGACGGACGAATGTTACGTCGTCAACTAGTCTTTTGATTGGCAAAAAAATATTCGCAGTACAAGTAAAAGATATAATATAAATTAAGCTGCAAATAAATACATTCATAGATACATTCGGGTCCTTGGGATTAAAGAGAAGACAATGTCCGAAAGGGTAAACTATTAAATGCGAATAAAGAGAATCTTAATGAGTTTTGAGAAATTGAAAGTAAATTATTTAATTTATAAATTGTAATTATAATGAAAATATGTGCATGTATTATTGAAAAATATGCTTAAATGAATGAAATAGTAAAATTGAATATATATTAGAGTACAAAATTCTCGGATTTTTTTATTGTATTCTTTGCTGGAATAAGGATCTATGGCAAATCATAGTTGAAAATTGTGAGCAATTTACCTTTTTAATAAATCTATTATTGTAATTACCAAGGAGAAGAGAGTGAATTTTATATGTTCCTAAAAACTTCGGAATACGAGAGGTGGGTATAAACCTAAGTCTCTGAAGGGGGACTTCCACCACTTTCGCAAACGTCAAAATAAGTAAACGTTTTTTAGCTCTTAGGAAGATGAAGTAGAAGAGCTATTGATGATTTTTCTGTTGATGGTTAAGATGTTCCTGATTTAAGGAGCTTCTGTGCCCAAAAAGCCATAAATCACCCTTACTGGGTGGTTACTGAGTAAAAATTAATGTCAAAATGCACTAGACATATACTAATCATAAGACTCACTGGATGATTATTTTGTTTTAGTATCATATGAAAAGATTCTGGAAGGCAGAAAATTTGTAACCTTCAGTTTTGTCCTTAAATTTTTATCTTTCAAACCTGTTGTGAGAAGGGCTATCGTGCATACAACATTTAGAAATAAATCGCCTGTAAGATATAGAAACATATAGGTTCGACTTGAGTACTATTAATAATTATAGAAAAAAATTTAATTTACCACTCGAATATTTATATAACCAAATTATTTATTATCATCCTAATTATTATATATACCCAATATACCCCTTTTCATTTGGAGAAGTAACTTCATGGCCTTGTAATAATTACAGTTCAGGCCTGATTGCAAGTTTGCTGAGGTAACCTAGAGAGAACCCTGGTTTCAGTAAAAAGAACATGGAAAATGATTGGATTGAGGGCAGACACATGGGCTACGTATGAGAAGATTTTTGTTAGCCTTACGGAGAGTATTTTTTTACGCGGTTCAGGTTTGGGAACAGGATTGCACTAAAGAAATTAAAAAAATTCAATTGGCTTTTTTAAGAGACTTTTGTGGATTCCTATAAATACCCCGAACTATGCTGTACGTTTGGAGGTTAGACGATCACGTCTAGCTTGTAATGTCTTCTCACGAACACTATCTTGGCTAAATAAAATTAATAATATGGAGAATAACAGACTACCAAGACGTTGTTTGATGAGGTTATGAGGATGGATAGTTCGGGGGTTCTGGCACAGAATTAAATTGGTATGGTCAAATAAAAATTTTTTTACGAATATGAGATGACAGAAAAGTGAGAGTCATCGGATTTAGATATACTGTTACAAGATTATGATAATCTATAATTTTGAAGTACGTTAAAGTAAATTTATCTAAAGATTTAAGGGACAGTGCCAAATCTAAGAGCCTTGTAATGTGGCAGCATTCAGAGATGCACCCTGGTCCCCAGCCTTACCTTGTAAAGCGTTTAGACATTTATTTCAAGAGATTATTTGCTCAATTTCGATTAGCGAATAATCATAATCAAAAAATATTATTGTCAATTAATCGGGAAGTAATTTCAAAATCCTGGGTCGACTCATGCTGGTGCTTGGAGCGGGGTAGTATCTATCATTTTTTGGTCGAATGCGAAATTCATAATATTGTGAAATAAGAATTTTTTCCAGAAATTGTAAATTGAGACTCTGAAACAGCATTCTGGATGGAAATTATGGATGCGCAGTGTATTGGAACGATAAAAGTGTTTGTAAAAATGATTGAAAGGATGCTAAACCCCTAAACGGTTTTTGTTCGCAATCTGTACCTCTTCATATTTTTAATTATTGTATTATCAGATGTGTAATTGGCTTTTTTATTCTTTCTCTTTTTTCGTTTTTTGTATTATGTACTAAGCCGAACGGTTTGAAAAATAAAGAATATAATTAAAATAACAAATATATTTGGTTTTAGAAAAAAAGTGCTTCATACTTTAGGACCCGGAAAAACTCGTAAATGATTTAGATTTCGTGTTATAGAAATAATCGTAAAATCTAAATAGTATACATAACTAATTTGTATTAATATTTTACATCTTTTTATTGAAAATATATCATAAAATTATTTTTTGATTGATGATTACATAGTGGTGTGGTTGTCAGTGCCAGCTTTAAACTTGAAGTGGTACATTGGGTGGTATATACATAAGGTGCTTTAAACGAAAATGAAGTTAAAGAACTGCATTACTACCTGAAGACATATTTCCTGCTTAATTGTAAGCAAATGAGTGTTACTTGGGTTTTTTTAAATAAAAAACCGCAGCTATTTTTACACTCGTAGTAAAATGACTCGTTGTATGACTCACGGGCAGTTACTAGTATGAACGACAGTCGACACCTGATATGATGTCTAATGATGTAATCTTGACCTATATTGTAACCCACTAAATGTTACATTCTCCCACCCTCCTTAGAATTTCCTATACATAAACATCATGCCATCGACGACATGTCGTCTTTTTGCCTAGTTTCTATTAAGCATTATTGTTATATAGAATCGCGAACTGATCCTTTAATATTCAATTGTAACGAAAAGATCAGCCACTATCATAAGTGATAATGATCCCACAAAAATAATAAATATCAGACTTTACCATTCTGATTTATCAGGTATTTTCGCCTCTAATGAATCTTAAATAAATAATATTATAGCTTAGCATATAACAGTCAAATGAAAATAACTCTGACGAAGAAAACGAAGAAGTGTCGTATTGTTTGATTGGAATTGTTAGAAACGACAGGAACTGGAATGAATGTATAGAAAAGGTGACCAAATCAGTTATATCAAAGCAGTTACTAAAACTAACCCAAAAATAGAATTACAGCGGTACCGTCGCTGAATTCATACACTTGCTTCATATATTAGCGTCATTACCACACAACAGAGAGTTGTGCAAAATCCTTAATATAAAAAATTTTGCGAACTTTGTCCGAATTCAATGATGAAAAACCTTATACAGAAGAAGATTACAGTGCAGAAATTGTGCATAATTAAAAATGATATTTATACACTTACACATGAAAAATATTTTCCAGTATATGTTGAATAATCAATTCAACAATTAAATAGTTCATTTTTCGACACGGGGACATTATCCTTTAATGTAATAAAAAAAGCCAAAGAAATACATATCTATTTTATAATTTCTACTTTATATTTTTTTGAAATTAAATTACTATTGAAGTAAATACCTTCGTTGTACAAAAGCAACACTCGAATTCACTAGGCAGTTCATCGATTTTTGGGTCGACTTTTCTGTTATCTTTTCTCTCGTCATCCTACAAAACAATACATAAAGATATATTTATTTCTTGTAATAGATAAATAATTGCGTTTTATTATTATGACAGAATTATATAATTTAGTTAACAAAAGACACCTTATGAAAGACAACTAATGCACTTTGTGCGTTGATTAAAATATCTTATAGTTTCAGCTTAAATAATAGAAAAATTCTCCCAAATTAAAGATAAAGTAGTTTTACGAATATTTAATAAAAAATATTTTCAAAAATGCACTCTATCTACCTGTACAGGTGCATACTAAGTTCCCTCTTATAACCCAGCGGTCACTAAAGTGTCCATTATTGCCCTAGGTCAATAAGTGTACTTAATTGACCGCTCGCAAGTCATTAAAGTACTTATTATTACCTTAATGCAATAATGGACAATTTATTGACCAGCTGTGTTATATAGAGAAACTTAGCATGCACCGTCACAGGTAGTATAGAGTGACTATAATACGCCTTTGTTGCATAATTTACACTTAAAAGTATTTATATTATATTGATAACCCGATTCGGCATTTAAAAATGATTTCCAAACAAAAATAGTTTAAAAGTTTAGTCTATCATTTTAAAAAAATTGTTATTTTCTTGTACCTAAATTGTGTCTAATTTCTATTTTCTTTATTAACAAATAGAGGATTATACTGAATAGATTATACTAAATAGAGTGTCATCCTTAATTTTTTAAGGTACTACTACACTTTAGAATTTAAAAAAATTTTATTTTTTTTTATTGTATTTTTTAACTCCTTATGACTTCAAAAAACACCTCCTAAAGTATTTATAACCAATTGTAAAAAATAAAAGTAAATTTTTCAAAAAATATTCAATTAATGTAAAAAGTCATTGACAAATTAAGTAAGTCTTTAAGGGGATGGTGGGGTCCAGCTTTTTGTTACGACCAGTAGAAACATTAGTGCTAATGTATGTAACAGTGTCTGAAATAAAAAAAATGGTGGGGTTTCAATTTGCAAAAGAATTTTAGGTAATTTATGGATGGCCTCTAACGATATATATAAGTTTAAACGCGTTTTTCTCAAAATAACGTTTTCTCAAATTGCGGACAGTTTATCTCTGAATCTACTGAACCGATTTTAATAAATGATAACTCGTTTTGTTTGTTAGCATGTCCTGTGTGACAATTTACCAGAAAATGGTCAAAAAATTTTAAAAAAACATTTTTGCAGACTAGAAAAATACTGAAAAACATAGTGTATTTTGACAAAAATTATTGAAACATCTGCTATTTTCTTATTTTAGTCGATTTTTCATTATTGGTGGTAGATTTCTATGCAAGACACATTCCTTTTTAAAAAGCAATTTGGATTTTTTGTTTCCGATTTGTCAATCTTGAGATAAACTGTCCGCAATTGGACAACTAACTTTTTTGAGTTTCGATCTGAATGCTGCCTGCAGATTATGATATTAAATAAGAATTAAAAACAAACCATTATTTTTGTTCTCCAAATATGTACTAATATAGGCAAAAAAGTTTTTTAAATATTTATAATAAAAGACCTAAGAAATTTTTTTTTAAAATTTAGTCTTTTAAGAGCCTTCTAAAGTGTAGTAGTACCTTAATTGATTGTATCAAATAATGATGCAGCAAATTTGCAATGCTAAGTCCGTAAGTAAGTTTCCTCATTGTCAGTAAGTTTACAGCAGAGTAGTGCAAAGATCTGAAGTTTACATTGCATGTTTGCAGTGAAATTAAAAGTGTATAAAAATAATTAAATGGCAATTGCTGGCTACAACATCCTTTGGGTCGATAATAATCCTTTTTGTAAACTTGCTGTATATGTATATCTAAAAATATTGTTCTATATGCGCGTCTTAAATGCGACTAAAGGTTAGGCATTTCGCAAATATTCACGTACGTCCCACAATAAAATAATACATAGGGCAAATTTTTTTCTCTTTTTCATTAGGTTTGTCAAATCCAAGATGTTTCTGCCGTGTAGATGGATAATGTTATTTTTATTACCTTCTAAGTAAATTTTGCTTTCTATTTTTTTAAGCAAATTGTTATCCGGAAGTTTTTGGGATTGCTAATTACGAATCCAGTATTAGTTTTTAAAATTTCAAAATGTCGAATCCAATATGGAGACCAAGATTTTTAAAATCCAAAGAATTCAATTGAAACTCTTTTCTCGGAGGTTTTATTTATTAAATATAAGTTTTATTATCAAATATAAGTATAGAACTAAGTTTATTGATTAAATACCCAGTAAGAAACGAAAAATTGAAAAGTATTAAAAAGATTCTATTCTTTTGAATGCCATTTCTGTCCAATACTTTTCTATCCAGTGAGAGCAATATAAATAGTAACGATATCAATCCTCTTGAATACCCAGTAAGAAAGCAAAGATTAAGAAGCATTAAAAAAATTCTATCCTCTTGAATACCATTTCTGCCCTATGCTTCTGAATTCCGCGACAGTAGTATAATAATATAATACTAATATTGTTGACATATAGAATGTTCAATTACTTTCAAATAACTGCACTCATGAATTTATTTGCTATTTTAAAAAGGAATAATTATTAAATTATCAGTTAAGAGGGTTAAAAGTGTTTAAAGGTCTCTGAAATTTTTAGGTTATGATTTATTGTCTAACAGAATAACGGCCCTGACTCGTTTAAATGACGTTAAATTGGTAAACAATCAATTTTTCAGCAAGTTTTTCTTTGAACACAAACACTTTTTACAAAATCTGCCAATGTGTGTATCTTATAAATTACAAAAATCCAGAAGATTGCTTGAATGCATGCAGAAACGCGGTTCCAATGAAAAATTGAAAAGTGATATAATGACAGGCTGTAATAATTTCGGATGGGATTGGAAAGCATTCAGAAAAAAATTTTGTCTTTGTTAAAAATTACAAAAAGAATTGAATAGCATTCATTTTTAGACGAAACGTGGTCCTATCATGGTATAGAAAAGTATTGGACAGAAATGGCATTCAAAAGTATTGGATAATTTCTACTACACCATACAGAGTTTGAATTATTTCAATCCTTTTCAATTTTTCGTTTCTTACTGGGTATAAGCTTTAAAGTGAGTAAAATTTTCTAAATTTATCAGTGAATATTTGTTTACAGGGTCCAGAAAATCTATAAAAATTATTGTAATGCAATGTGAATAAAACGGGGAAGGGTTGTCAAGAAAAAATGGAAAATTAGTAACAAAGTGTATGTTGGTATAAGGAATAAACAATCTGCTTGACCAACTCTTTTGATAAACACTATAAACTGATTCGCACTTTTTCAAGATAAATCTACTGCACTGAGAAAACTGGATGATCAAATTCAGAGGTTCAAAAAGTGTATGTTTCCTTTGCTTATGAAGAGAGTTGAATAGTCCTTCTAAAATGAATTTTGAATTGATAAAAGAAATCTGGTTGCATATTCTCTTCCATTATATCTGAGGGTTAAAAGCTGCGCAGAAAATGTGAACGATCTGATGCACGCGAACATTACCAAGGTGAATTACCATAAGTCAATGATAATGAGGTTAGGTTATTGAAAATGTTTTTTCTTTTTTTTTGTCGTTTAATATATGAGTTAGTAAATAAAAAATATAATTCATCAATTAAAACAGTCCCCTTAATGTTTAAATAAATTAATTGATTCCTTTATAATTGATTAACATAAATATAATTAATAGTTGTTTATTTTGTGACGTTTAATGTATTTATTTTACGAGTTAAGTTGCCATATTTATTCATTCCGCACAGGATAAGGAAAGGATTTCTTAAGATTTCCCTCCAAGAGAAATAACTCAAATATCTGTAAATAGTGTATTTAAATATTTAAAGTGTTTTCCAATAGTAAACTCTCAAATATAAACGATTGGTCCCTCCAAATTTTTAGTCTAAACCTCCAATTTTCTTAGTGTGAAATTCTCATTCGTAACTAATCGAGACACGAAACTTAAACAATTTTGACTGACAGACCTAGCCAACGCGTTACTAAAGTGGCCTGACAGAATTCTTTATTTTCAATCATCCGACATAAAATTGAAAGCTCTATCCAACTTAGAACCTACAATATCCGATTTTTATGATAAAATTTAAATTGACAGTATGACTTATCAACGTGTTTAGCTGATCCACAATTTTCGATTAAGAGTTTTAAGTAATACCATTGTGTTTTTTAAATTTTGGCCACGATATTGAAACTGCTATTTTGAATTTATGAAAACGGACATCACATTCGTAATATGCGACCCCGAAAACCCCCTATAGTCTACAGAAAAATACTACTCTTCTCTAAAGACATCAACCGGACTTCTGATAAAGGTTGTTGAATATTAGGTGGCTCTGAATAGCACTAATTTGACGAGTTTTGCCCACATTCTATATAGTTCATGTCAATAATATCAACGGAATCCTGCTTCTCCATTGGCTGATTTTTTAGACAATATAGAAGGTAGGCAAACTTCGTGAAATTAGTGCCTTCAATGAGAGAAGGCATCGATGTACTCGAGTGTACAGGCACCTCGTTAATTAAACAACCATGGTTAGTAAGAGGTTGGACCGTAGCTTTGCAGGATTGGGTAGCGGTTGACTGACATCAACCTCTGTTCCAGAAGCCAAATGGATTCGTAATCCAAGATAACGGATTGGGCCAATAACTCTGCTTAGATCTATTATGGCAGACGAACTGACAAAACTCTGCATTTAACCTGGTGGATAGATGATGTAAAGAAATAGGACTATCCTTAAATTCAAGTAAAACGAAAGCTGTTCTAATGAGAAAAGTGTTAGAAGTTATTAGTAGAAAGTCCTGCAATTACTAGATAGAAGACTGATCTATGAAGCAATTCTGCTCCCTGGGTTGACCTATGCTTGTGTGTTTTGGTGAATTGAGTCGAATTAAAAACATTGAAAATTGGATTGGAGTATGTGAGGGAGATACTATTGAGGAGTATCACGAATACCGTGGATACAAAGTCCACGGCCGATCTTCATGATCTTTTGGGGAAGAGTCG